TTAACTGTTCACGTATTATAGGATATTTTAGTTGTTTCTAGTTTTTGGCTGTCAGAAACAAAAGTTTCTGTGAACAATTGTGTACAGGTTTTTGTGTGGACATTTATATTCCTTAATGCCCTGGCACTTTTCTTTCTGAAATGTATTTTATCTAATATTAACATAGTCCTTTTTTGCCTTTTATACATAAATATATTCTAAGTATTGATGCTTGCATGATATATTTTTCCAATATTTTTCTTTGAACCTACCTGTATTTGAAGTGATTTTCATATAGACAGCATTAGTTGGATTAAGTTTTCTATTCACTCTGCCAACTTCTTTTAAATTTTTAAAATTTATTTTAGCAGTGAGTAGTTGTGTTTTTATTATATTTTTAAAAAAAGTTTAATATATTATTTTTAATTGATATATTTATGGGATGTAACATTTCAAACACATTATATGTGTTTATAATATGCAATGTTCAGATCAGAATAATTATCCTATCACCTCAAAATACATCATTTCTTTAGTTTTCCACATACATATTAAAGTATGAAATATTGGTCTTTCTGTGACTGATTGATTTCACTTAAATAATATTCTCTAGGCTCATTCATGTTACAGTAAGTGACAGGATTTTATTCTTTTTTGGTGCGGATAATACTCCATTTTTTGTATTTAAACTGCATTTTTTAATCGATTCATCAATTTGTAAATATCTAGGCAATTTCCAATGTCTTGCTATTGTAAATTGTGCTGTAGTAAGCCATGGAAGTACAAATGTCTCTTGACAGACTAATTCTTTTCCTTTGCGGTATTTATCCAGTAGTGGAACTGCTGGTCATATATCTATTTTCTTAGTTTTGTGAAGGAAATTCTTACTTTTTTTCACAATGCTATCCTAATTTGTTATAAGATATATATATATATATATATATATTTTTTTTTTTTTTTTGGTGGGACTGGAATTTGAACATAAGGCTTTGCACTTGTAAAGCAGGTGCTGTACCATTTGAGCCACCCCTCCAGTCCATTTTGCTCTGGTTATTTTGGACATAGGGGTCTCAACTATTTGTTCAGTCTGGCCTTCAACATTGATTTTCCTTATCTCATTACAGGCTTTTTTTAAAAATAATGACTTTTCTAACTGCAATGAGATAGTATCTCATTGTGTTTTAAAATTTTTATTTATTTTGGTGGAACTAGGGTGTGAATTCAGGGCTTCACATTTGTAAAATGCGCTCTGCCACTTTAGCCATGCCTCTAGTCCATTTTGCTCTAGTTATTTTGGAGATGGGAGTCTCATGAACTATTTGCCCAACTGGCCTCAAACTATGATCCTCCCGATCTCATTGAATCTCCCAAATACCTAGGATTACAGGCATAAGCTGCTGGTGCCAGGTTCATTGTGGTTTTGATTTTCATTTCTCTGATGACTAGTGACAATGAGAAGATTTTTCATATTCTTATTAACCATTTATCTTCTTTTGAGCAATGTCTATTCAAGCCATTTGCCTAATTTAAAAATCAGATTCTTTGTGCTTTTTTGCTGCTGAGTTGTTTGAATTTCTTACATATTATGGATATTAATCCCTTTTCAGACAAGTAGTTTGTAAATACTTTTTCATTCCATAAATTGTTTCTTAACTCTGTTGATGGTTTCCTTTGTTAGTTTGATATATAACTGATATATTTGGACCATTGAATAGTATGTCAGATTTAAGTCTGCCATCTCATTTTTTTCCCCAAGCCAAACTTGTTGTCCAACTTATTGAAGAACTTTTCATAAACAATCATGTTATATTAGGCAGGACATGGCCAGACAATCTTTTAACAGTGTACCACTTTTAAATTCCCTTTTTGCATGGACTATCAAAATCAGAAAGCCACTGTAAAATCCAGTGTCATCTTCCTTTGAGGTGAATGGGAAGTTTAGGGGGAGGGTTGAAGTTTCACATTAAGCATGTTGGTTAACAACTTTTCATTAGCTGACCCTGACTTTCAGGAAATCAAATGAAAATGGCAGAGCTATCATTCTGGAGATCCACAGTCTAGAAAAGGAGCCACTGCTTTTCTGAGGAACACTATCACAATGATGTCACTGCCAAGTCCAGATTGCCTGACATACTGGCAAAACCAGTTTTAGGGGTCAGGTCCCAACAGGTTTCTGGTTTTAAGGAAGTTAAGTCAGTGCTGATGATGGATGGAATTTGAGTTTTCCCACATCACAAGAAGTGCCAAGGTGGCTAGATATATGTGTCAACAGCAGGGAATCCTACCTCCTGGGATCTAAGAGGAAGTCTCAAAATTAACAGGAAAAGCGTTTCCCCAGATGCTATCAAGCTTTAAGATATTCGATGAGTGACCCACATAAACTCCAAATGCAGTTGGAAGCATTCTATGTGCTAACAACATAGCTTAAGAAAAAAAGTATAACAAAATTCTGTATTTTTATAAAACTTGATAAAAATAATATTTCAAACTGTACAGTCACCACAAGTACAGAGTTATCAAAAATGCACATGCTTCATGTGGCATCTCCAGCACCTTCAGCTTTCTGGTGCCTGCGCTCTGTTTTGGCATCTCCATTTTCTGCAGGATTATTTCCATCTTTGTCAACATCAGCTTTTCCCTTTTTTCCCTTTGGTTCCCTTCTCTTCCTTCTTTCCTGGGACCTGTTTAGGTTTGGGGTCTGGCTTTAGAAGAGCAGGTTTAGTAGACAACCTTGCAGATCATCTCTGTGGCTTGTCCTTCACCTTGGCTTTATCTTCTTAGCATTGCCTTCAGCCTTCCTCCCCAGCGTGGTGATGGCCAGAGTGAAGTAGGCATTGAATGTGGGGATGCAGTTACTATAGCATTGGTTGGTCCTGGGAGTCCAGGTTTCATTCTCACCTCCTCTTCACACTGCTCCTTATATTTGTTTTCTGTTTGTTTCACCATTTTCTCATTTTGTTTCATTTTCTTTTACATGTCTTCCTGTGGGTTATTTGAGCCGCCCCCCCCGCCCCCCCCCTTTTGGAACTCTCCTCTTTGTGAAGTTTTTGGGTGAAGCACTTTGTACAATTTTTTATTTATTTTTTAATTTTTATTTTTTTATTATTCATATGTGCATACAATGCTTGGGTCATTTCTCCCCCCTGCCCCCACCCCCTCCCTTCCCACCCACTCCGCCCCCCTCCCTCTCCCCCCACCCCCTCGATACCCGGCAAACTGTTTTGCCCTTCTCTCTAATTTTGTTGAAGAGAGAGTATAGTCAGCAATAATAGGAAGGAACAGGGTTTTTGCTAGTTGAGATAAGGATACAGCTATACAGGAAGTTGACTCACATTAATTTCCTGTGCATGGAGTTATCCTTCTAGGTAATTCTTTTTTTTTTTTTTTTCATTTTTCTTTTATTATTCATATGCTGCATACAAGGCTTGGTCATTTCTCCCCCCTGCCCCCAACCCCTCCCGTTCCCACCCATCCACCCCTTCCTCTCCCCCCACCCCTCGATACCCGGAAACTGTTTTGCCCTTCTCTCTAATTGTTGGAAGAGAGAGTATAAGCAATAATAGGAAGGAACAAGGGTTTTTGCTGGTTGAGATAAGGGATAGCTATACAGGCATTGACTCACATTGATTTCCTGTGCGTGGGTGTTACCGTTCTAGGTTAATTCTTTTGATCTAACCTTTTCTCTAGTACCTGTTCCCCTTTTCCTATTGGCCTCAGTTGCTTTTGAGGTATCTGCTTTAGTTTCTCTGCGTTGAGGGCAACAAATGCTAGCTAATTTTTTAGGCGTCTTACCTATCCTCATACCTCCCTTGTGTGTACTCGCTTTTATCTTGTGATCAAAGTTCAATCCCCTTGTGTACAACTTTTTTAGTGTGTGACTCCTCAGTACCTTCATATAGTTATTTGTAGATTTTGACCAGAGTTTATAGTTGTAATCTTTAGGACATTGGTCTAAAAACAGCCTCATAGAAAGCAGCATGGTATTATTATTATTTTGGCAGTACTGGGGTATGAACTTAGGGCTTCACATTTGCTAGGCAGGCACTCTACCACTTGAGTCAACACCTCCAGCCCAACCTTGATATTCTGTTCTTTTCTTTCCCTCCTTCCTTCCTTCCTCCCTCCCTTCCTTCCTCCCTTCCTTCCTTCCTTCCTCCCTCCCTCCCTCCCTGCCTTCCTTCCCCTTCCTTTCTTTTCTTTCTTTCTCTTCTCTCATGTGTGTGGTATTGGGGTTTGAACTCAGGATCTTGTGCTTGCTAGGCAGGTAGATACTCTACCACTGAGCCATGCTCCCTATTTTAAATTATTACATCATACTACATAGTGCATTATAAACAAATTTGAAGTAGTGTCATTTACCAGATCCTAGACAGAACCTCCAGGGGACTAAATGCAATAACCCCTCCTCCAAGGGGGGATACTTTCTAAAATCTCTGATAGATGCCTGAAACTTCTCTCTCTCTCTCTCTCTCCTCCTATATATATATATATATATATATATATATATGTATATATATGTTGATACACATATATATAGTATGGATATTATAGTATGTTTGATAACATGTGTATATATGTATACATATATACATATATGTATATATATGTGATACACATATATATATATATATATATATGTATATATAGAGAGATATAGGTATAGATATCTATCTATCTATCTATCTATATACATGTGCATATTATACCTAACATAAAGTTTAATAATTTTGACATAGTAAGAGGTTGGTAACAATAACTAACAATGAAGTGAAAGAATGATAAAAATATACTATAATAAATGTTATTTAAAATGTGTAAATTTTAATTTGTAGAATTAAAATTGTATAGATCACAATTGACCACAGGTACCTGAAACCGTGGAAAGCAGTTAACTTTGTTAACCTGTTCATGTATGATTAATGATTTAGTTTTTGAGTAATAGCTAAGGCTGTTTTGTTAATCTTTAATACTTTTGTATATTGAAGTTGTCATTACAGTAATTCTTTTTTTTTCCCCCATAGAACATTCCTGACGTAGATGAAGAAGGATATAGTATTAAACCTGAAGCAAATCAGAATGATATCCTTTCATTATTTGGGTATCCTTAGGGATTGTGTTGGCATATAAGCAGACAATTATGAAAAATAATGTTACCTAAGTCCTCTTCAATTTTTAAAGTAATTACAATAAAATATTGGGGTTTGAACTCAGTGCCTTGTACTTGTTAGGCAGTACTCTGCCACTTGAGCCACACTCCCAGCTCTTTTTGCCTTAGGTATAGGGTCTTTTTTTCCTAATAGGGTTTCACATTTATCCCTAAATTGTTCTGGACCGTAACCCTCCTATTTATGCTTCTAGTGTAGGTGAGATGAGGGTATGTGCCACCATGCTCAGCTTTTATTGGTTGAGATGGGTCTCTTGAACTTTTTGCCTTGGCTGGCCTAGAATCTCAGTCCTCCCAATCTCTGCCTCCTGTGTGGTAAGAATTACAGCATGAGCCACTATGCCCAGTCTCATTTTACATGATTTTATTAATAAAAGTAAGTAGCTTGGTTACTTTCAATCTATCTTACCTTTAAAGGTTTTGTCCCTTTTTATAAATACATGAAAAACTGGTTATGCATTAAGATAATTTAAAAACTAAGTTCTTTAACTAATACCCACATACCAAAGAGAACCATTTCTACTCATCTAGTGATTCTGACTCCGAAGATGAAGAACCAAAGAAGTACCGGATAGAAATCAAGCCTATGCATCCAAGTAACTCACATCACACAGTGGCTTCTTTGGATGAATTAAAAGTATCTATAGGGAACATAACACTGTCCCCAGCAATATCTGTAAGTAAGAACATGGACAAATTTGTACTTTAGTTTTCTTTTACCTCTTCTACCTACAACAGGTCAATTTTAAGAATAGCAAAAAGTAAAATGTCAGGTGGAGTGGCTTAAGTGGTAGAGTGCCTGACTAGCAAGCATGAGGCCCTGAGTTCAAATCCCAGTATTGGAAAAAAAAAAAGTAAAACATTTAGTAATAAACACACTGGATGTGTTTTTATACAGGCAAATAAACTTGTAAGCTTGGCTTAGTTTTGCTTGCTTTTGAAAATATTTTACAGGAAAATAAAAATGTTGAAAATTTGTGATTTCTATCATTAGCTTTATTTTATAAACTAGTTATATATGTGAATTCAGGCAGAATTTGTGAATTGGCAGTGTTAATCTTTTCCTCTTCTAATTTTAAGTTTTTCTTTTTGTTTGGTGAACCTTATGTAAATGGAAATTCCATGAGAATGAATTTAAAGATCAAATTAATTCTTTGCCTTTTTTTCTTCCTTTTGGTGGTGGTAGTAGGGATTGACTTATCATGCCCTTGTGAATGCTAGGCAGGCACTCTACTACTGAGCTATGCTACTAGCCCCCCCCCCACCTTTGCACTTTTCTTTTTTGTCACCATAACATTTGCTTTTGAGGGAGAAGTAGAATATTGCTATAATAAATTTTCCCATTGAAATGTCATAATCTTCTTTCAGAAATATTACATTATGGGAAAAACATGTCTTAGAATGACAATTTAGTGTATTTATATATTATCATAATTGATTTTAAATCTCCTTTTCTTAGGGGCTGGAGGCATGACTCAAATGATAGAGCACCTGCCTAGCAAGTACAAGAAACTAAGTTCAAACCCTAGTACCGCCCCCCTCCACACAAAATAATAATGAAGAGTAAAAGTTCTCACCATTTTATAGTAGCTAATTATATATTTTATGTAGTGTGTTTTTAAAAAAATATAGGTACTTACTTTAGAATTTAATTTTAGAGCTGTTTTTTTCCCACCAAAAAAGATTTCCTCCACTCTTCCCTTGACCTGTGGTGCTGGGTATCAAACTCAGGGCTTTGTGCTTGCTAGACAGATGCTCTATCACTGAGCTATATACTTTGAAAGGATTTCTAAAGTGAGACTTAACTGTAGTGTCACTATTTATAATATTAACATTAATATTTAATTATGAAGAGAGTTGGTGTACATATAGAGAATTATGAACCATTAAAATTTTTATTGTGTAAGAACATAAATATATATATATATATATATATTCCTAGAGGAAACTCCAAAACTTTAAGCTATAAACTCCAAAACTTTAAGCATCTCAGCATCTCTCTGGTCAGTAAGATCATAGATGGTTTTAAATATTCTCCTTTGTGCTCCTCTTTCTTCAGTGTTTTGTTTTGTTTTGGTGATACTGGAGGGTTGAACCCAAGACCTCATGCTTGCTAGGAAGGTACTCCCATCAGTGAAGCCACCCTGTCAACACTTTTTGCATTGGTTATTTTTTGGATAGGGTCTTGCTTTATGTCCCGGACAGCCTGGAATATAATATTCCTGTTAGTGCTCTGGGATAGCAGGTGTGTACCATTGTGCCCAGCCATTGATTAAGATGGAGTCTTGAGGACTTTTTGCCTGGCTGGTCTAGACTTATGATCCTCCTAGTCTCCAGCTCCTGAGTAGCTTAAGATTATAGGCTGGAGCCACTGCACCTAACCCTAAATTTTTTTTTAAATAAACATGTATTGACTTCAGTCAGAAAAATAATTAGTTATCAGGGAAAATTTAATAGTTAACATTGTGTTTGGAAAAAGGATATCTTTGAGTAATAAGATTTTTTATTTTTGTCTATTGACTTAAAAATTGCATTGTTTGAAAAGTGATTTTCAAGAGTTTGGGTTAGATTATTTAGATTAGCAAGTTATGTTATATTGCTGTAGATATTGCTTTAATGTTTTAAGAACATTTTATTGGGTGTTAACAGTACCAATACTATTTTTAACTACTAAAAATACTGAAAAATTTCCTGATTATTTTATGTAAATACAATTTACAGTTGAACAGATATATTAAAACAAATTAAAACTAGAATCCCAGTATTAACATTTCACCAAATATATCATTACTAAATTACAGTATTTGTTTAGTGGCACTTAGGTTTTGCATTTCTGTTTCAGGTACAGATGAATCGGAATTCATCGAGTAAGTTTGACATTTGAATTTGTTATTTTATGTGTGTAAAATATTATCAGGCAATTTGTCTTGTATCCTCATGTAGTTATAAAAATAGTGTTAATGGTCAATTAGGATACTTTAAACATAAAACAAATTATTTGTATTATTTCTGTAGCACTAATAGCCATGACAAACTTTCATACTCGGCTACAAAATTTTTCAGAAATCAACAAAGCCAGAGTAACTTCTGATTTAAAAGTTAAAATGTTTTACTGGCATACGCTATTGAGGAAGCCAGCAGACATTTATAAAAATGAATAATCTTTACCTTTATCTATTTTTAAGTCATATCACAATTGCAATTTCTATTACATGATTTTGAAAGTAGTAACTTAATAATAACAAAAACCTTTAGGATGTTAACACCTTTGACAAAATCATGTGTTAAAAATAACAGGGTTAAGCAATCTACATGTTTAATGCAATTCCCATCAAAATCCCAATGACATTCATCACAGAGATTGAAAAATCTACCCTAAAGTTCATTTGTAAACACAAGAGACCGTGAATAGCCAAGGCAATACTCAGCAAAAAGAGCAATGCTGGAGGTATCACAATACCCGACTTCAAACTATATTACAGAGCCGTAGCAATAAAAACAGCATGGTACTGGCTCAAAAACAGATATGAAGATGAGTGGAACAGAATAGAGGACCTGGATATGAATCCACACAGCTATGCCCACCTTATTTTTGACAGTGGTACCAAAAATATACAGTGGAGAAAAGACAGCCTCTTCAACAAATGATGTTGGGAAAAGCGGTTATCCATCTGCAAAAAACTGAAACTAGATCCATGTTTATCACCCTGTACTAGTATCAACTCAAAATGGATCAAGCACCTTAATATCAGACCTGAAATTCTGAAGTTAGTACAGGAAAGATCAGGAAACACTTTGGAAGTAATAAGTATAAGCAAGGACTTCCTCAATAGAACCCCAGCAGCTCAGCATCTAAGAGAAAGGATAGACAAATGGGACTTCATAAAACTAGAAAGCTTCTGCTCAACAAAAGAAATTATCTCTAAACTGAAGAAACCACCCACAGAGTGAGAGAAAATATTTGCCAGCTACACATCAGACAAAGGACTGATAACCAGAATATATAGGGAACTCAAAAAACTAAAGTCTCCCAAAATCAATGAACCAATAAAAAAATGGGCAACTGAACTAAACAGAACTTTCTCAAAAGAAGAAATTCAGATGGCCAAAAAACACATGAAAACATGCTCACCATCTCCAGCCCTAAAGGAAGTGCAAATCAAAACCACACTAAGATTCCACCTCACCCCCGGTAGACTAGCCATCATCAAAAATACCACTAGCAACAGCTGTTGACGAGGATGTGGGGAAAAAGGAACCCTTGTACACTGCTGGTGGGAATGCAAGCTAGTGCAACCACTCTGGAAAAAAAATATGGAGGCTTGTTAGAAAACTAAACATAGATCTGCCATATGATCCATCAATCCCACTCCTGGGGATATACCCAAAAGAATGCGGCACAGGTAACTCCAGGGGCACCTGCACACCCATGTTTATTGCAGCACTATTCACAATAGCCAAGTTATGGAAACAGCCAAGATGCCCCACTACTGACGAATGGATTAAGAAAATGTGGTATTTATACACAATGGAATTTTACTTAGCCATGAAGAAGAATGAAATATTATCATTCACAAGTAAATGGATGGAACTGGGGAACATCATCCTGAGCAAGGTTAGCCAGGCTCAGAAGACCAAAAATGGTATGTTCTCCCTCATATGTGGACTTTAGATCTAGGCAAATACAGCAATGTGGTTGGGCTTTGGTCACATGATAAGGGGAGAGCACACACCAGAGGTATGGGGATAGGTAAGAAACCCAGAACATGAAAGTGTTTGATGTCCCCACTGCAGAGGAACTAATACAGAAACCTTAAAGCGACAATAGGTCAGTATGAGAAGGGGATCAGGAACTAGTGAAAAGGTCAGTTAGAAATGAATCAACTTGGGTTTAACACATTCGTACATGGAAGCAATGCTAGGAATCTCTGTGTATAGCTATCCTTAACTAGCAAAAACGCTTTGTCTTTCTTACTATTGCTTATGTTTTCTCTTCAACAAAGTTAGAGATAAGGGCAGAACAGGTTCTTCCTGGAAGCGAGGCGGGGTGGGGGCAGAGGGAGGGGGCAGGGGGAAGAAATGGCCCAAACAGTGTATGCACATGTGAATAAATGAATAAAAAAAATAGTTCTGAAAAGGAAGTGAAGTAGATGTGTTCATCTCTATGTATCATTCTCATGATAAACCCAGAGTAAATAACTCGTGTTTCTAATACAAAAATAGTATACTGAATGTTTTATGATACAGAATATATAACCTTGCTTTTGAAGAATTTATGAACAAATATACTCAAATATGTCTATAGATTCTGATATATTATAATTATGCACGTTAGCATAGATATGTATGCTTCATATTGGTAGCAATTGAAGAAAATTGGTATTGTGTAGTCATTATGTACATGATTATTCTATTTAAAAATATCATTAAAAAAACAAGAGTTATGGGGAAAACAGAGTGGAGACAGCCCACTCAAAATTTATGATTAAAATTTTAGCACAATTGAAAAGACCTATTAATAATAAATACCAAAATAAAAGTAAGGATTTTACCATTAAAAAGAAATGTTGATGGCAGCTTCATTATAGGAGTTGTGAAGAAAATGAGGATACATGGAGACTGCTGAGTCACAGAGGTGAGGTCAGAATAGAATAGGCACTTTGAGGCAGAACAAAAGCCAAACTGAGCCAAATGGAAGAACATAGTCTGAATAAAAAGTACCCTGTGACGTTCCTCCATGACGTGCTGCAGTTGCCCATCTTGACGTCTTGTAGTCATCAACAGCTGCTTGGTCACCAGCATGACTTTTGTGTTTCCAGTGTCCTTCCCCTGTTTATAACTTGATTGTGAAATGAGTCATATTACCAGTGCAAAAGATAGCAAAATAGACTGTTTGCTCTTGCTTGCTGTAAAAATTTTAACTTTTCAAAATAGGGCTTCCTTCAGGAGTTAATCACTACTTTTGATGAATATAATAATCACAAATAATATTCTTAGAACTTTAAAACTGCTATGATTCATTAAAATTCTTGAGTAAAATTTGCATAAATGTTTAAATATTTCTTCTAACTCTTAAAATTACAGCCCATATTTTCTCTCTTAAACAGTAATTATATTTTAGTGACTATTGTAGTTTAGGTGGCTTAAATAATTTCTTCTCAAAGCTGAGCTGTTGGAAGAAATCAAGATTCGGTGGAAATGAAATTTTACTTCATGATTATTTATGTTTATTTTTCAGTTATAAAATTCTTAAGTTGGGCTGGTAGAGTGGCTCAAGTTGAAGGCCCTGAGAGTACTGCAAAAAAACCCTCTTAAGTTATTCATAGCATTGGGATATGTACATAGGGTGTTTCTTTTTGTTAAAATACTTTATTTCTCAGGTTATGAATTTTTCATAATATTTTCATAATATTTTAGATGAGGAGTTAACAAAATCAAAGCCATCTGCTTCATCCATTGAGTAAGTTTGCTATTTTTTTTTTAATAGACTTTATTCTTTGCAACAGTTTTAGGTTCAGAGCAAAATTGAACAGAAGGTGTGGAGATTTTCCATATACTCCTTTCCCTTACATATGTCTAACCTCCCTATTGAAATCCCTCAACAGAGTGGTCCATTGGTTACTATAGTTGATGAACTTGAATTTTGACAATTCATAATCACTCAAGTTCATAGTTTACATTAGCGCTTACTCTTAAGTGTTGTACATTCTATGAATTTTGACAATGTATAATAGTATCTTTATAGCAACATGCAGTGTTTTCACTGCCCTAAAAATCCTCTGTGTTCTGCTTATTCAGCCCTTCCTTTCCACCACATTTAGATATTAAGGATCCTTCTTTTGTCCTTTTTCTAGGGAGTTTTCCAGTGAAGTGTTGTTAATCATCTTGTTTTCTGAACTGTGAAATGTCATGTTGTGGTTTTTAGGTGTTTTAAACTTTTACTTGATGTTTCTTTTTACAATGATTAAAAAATCCCCTTAACTACAGTTGGCTTTGGTGACCTCACTGCTTCTAAATAAGTGATATATTCTAAGTTCATTCATGTCTGTACTTCAAGTAGTTATTCTCATGGAAATTTTCTCATTTCTTCATTTTCGACTGTGACTTTAAAAGACTGAATTACATGAGTTTCAAAATTGAGGGTGTTTCAGTTAAGATGAAAAGGCTGAAAACCAGATGGTACTTTGTGCCAAGTTTTGTTAAAATGAAAAAGAAAAATTTAGTCAGTGTTGCATAAGTCCTTCACTTCTCTGTCAGAACACTTTCTTTGAATTAATATTTTTACAGGAATAAAAGATGGGGTTAATGAAATAGTTTACTTGGTATTGAGGCACCAGTTAGGCACAGTGGTAGTATTTATTAGATTTATAATTTTTAAAGGTAAGGCTTTTAGCTGTTAGAACTTTGTCTTTAAGAATCATTTATTCAGTTATAATGCTAGGTTTTATCATACCTAGTCCTAGTGTGCTTTCATGAGTGCATATTGAGATATTAGGTAAGTTCTTTTAGATGTTTATAACATTTTTAGCATATGCCTGTTTTCTATTTCTGATTTCTTAAAATATTTTAAAAATTATGACAGTTTTATACATTAAAATATCACCTTTATATACTTTTAAAGAATCCTTTACCCTTTTTGCTCATCTTTGAAAATAAATGTGGCCTTGTAAAATTTCTAATGGATTTCACATTGCTTAAATTTTCTGTCCAAGACTAGATAGATGCTAGTTGTGACTCAATAGAGCTGAGACTGTTTTAGAATCTAGTAGCTATGTGTCTTTGAATAGCTGATTTGGACTCTTAGTGCTGCTTTTCTTCATTTGAAAATTAGTTTTTGCATTCTAACAGTCCCCCCAAAGTTGTTAACATCTAGTAGGCTATGATCAAGGTAGATTAATCTTCCCCAATCCCTTGTCAATCTCACTTAATGTTATTGTAGGTTCTGCTTAAATACTGGTATATTAAGTCTGTTCATTAAATTTATTCACTTAAACCACTGGCAGGACACTCAGCTTTTAAATCATGTGTATTGAACTGTTAGAATTCTGCGAAATAAAAATTAAGTGACTAGATTTTATACTAATAAAATAAAATCCGTATTTTTTAAATGGTATGTAGGAAAGGGACCAGTGATTTACTTGCTTGGGACCCCCTCTTTGGACCATCTCTTGATTCATCTTCTTCAGCTTCACTAACCTCGTCATTATCAGGTAAATATTTGCATATATTTATTTATTTATATGTTTTTTTAATCTCAGGACTGCAAAGTTGCTTTTTTCCTAATTGGTTTATTCACTACTTGTGTGTTTTACTTTTTTTTTTTTTGTGGGTGTGTGTTTTACTTAATCATCCAAAACTTTTTCACTTTTTCTTAACCCTGTCTCAAAAAAAAAAAAAAACAACAGGGCTGAAGACATAGATAAAGAGCACCTGCTTAGCAAGTGTGAAATCCTGAATTTAAACCCTGGTACTACCAAAAACAAATAAACAAAAAGGTTTTTTTTTGAAATGCCAAAGAGGGTTAAAATTGTTATATTTATTTATCTCTGTGCATCATTTCATAACATTATCCAAATAATAATTCTTATTACATGTAGGTAATTCAGGTGTATAAATATGCATTAATATAACCAGTCCTTTCTTGATGCACATCAATTTTCTACCTTAGTGAAAATAACAAATTTTGTACATGTCTCATAATATCCTTGTGATAATCAGTATATAAAATGTATGGATTGCAAGATATGCCCATTGACACTTGTTGTTAAACTGCTTTTCAGGAAGGCTTTTACACTTCCTAAGCAATATATGAACAAATTCAATGAGTATTTTTTAGTTACTGTTTTGGCAAGAATATGTTGTTTCCCTTCAAAATAAAAAATTCCCATTAGCCCCAAATCAAAGCAAGTATCAAAAATGCATGTTAATGAAACCACTACTTGTTCAAAACAACTTTAAGTTGACTTTCTACTCTCTTCTCAGGAATTCTGAGTTGCCATGTGGTATTTGAAGTGAAGGGAGTGCTGGAATCATGGACATGTGTTGATTTTATTGTTATCACTCTGCTGGGAGCCACTCCTTCTGTTTAATTTGACCATGTTAACATCTGTGTGAAGTCCTTTATATTGTCTCTTCATAGATGGAAAAACTAAACCTCAGAGATAATATGATCGTGTAGGTAGGAAATGATGGTGGCAAGATTCAACTTGGATTTCACTAATTCTAAAATCATTGTTCTATCTGCCACACTTGGCAAATTAATAAAAAAATAAGCCATCTTGAAATATTTTGCTATTAGTAATAAAATAAATTTTTAGTATTTGAAATTAAATTGTTTATAGAGAGCAAATATTTTTTTAAAAGAAATAACAAATGGGTTATAGAAAACCTTAACCAAACATTATTTGGAAGTTTGAAGGCAGGGTAAACTGTATCTAATATTTACAAACCAGCAAAGAATAGTCAGCTGGAAATTGAACATATTCTGAAGTGCTGTTACAGCCTTTCTCAATGGGCATTTGTTAGTAGTTTTATAAAACTAGCCATCCAAATATATTGTGTTATATAGCAGTTATTAAGCTTCACTTGAACAGAATATAATTCTCAGTCAAACTGATTGGTACATTATTGTGATTCTTCTGTTTTACAAACTGGCCCTAAGTAAAATTATAAACAGGCATTTGGTTCCAACATTTTTTGCAATGCTTTTCTTCCCCATCTTAACTTCCTCCACTCAGGTACCCATTTGTATATTTTAGCAAGACCTAGGTGTGATTATTCCCTTCTCTCCTTTGTCTCTTTTTGAATCTTACTTCAGCTAGTTAATAACTATTAAGTTTAGCAGACTTTTTTTTTTGTTTTTTTTGGGGGAATGTGTTTGAACTCAGGACTTAGTACTTTTAGTACTTGCAAAGCAGGTGTTCTACCACTTGAGCCACACCTCCAGCTCAATAACTGGTAAGTTTAAAAAGGATGCCCATAGCTTTATTGGGAAGTAGTTTCAGTTGCATCTTGTGCCGTGTATACTATAAGTAAGCATATATGTTTATTTTAAACATGAATATAAAAAAATGAATGTATACCACTATTCATGTATGTATTTTTAAAATTTAACACAAATATCTCATGAATTCTTCCCTTTAGTAATTGCCCTTGTAGACCATTTTCTTCTCTTGCTCTACAAAAGTCCTTTTAAAATTACTTTTTTGCTGGGCACCAGTGGCTCATGCCTATAATCCTAGCTACTTGGGAGGCTGAGATCGAGAGGGTCACAGTTCGAGGTCAGCCCAGGCAAATAGTCGGTGAGACCCTATCTTCAAAATAACCAGAGCAAAAATGGACTGGAGGTGTGGCTCAAGGAGTAGAGTGCCTGCTTTGCAAGCACGAAGCCCTGACTTCAAACTCCCTTCCCACAAAAAAAATTTACCTTCAAAAAATTTTAGGCTGGTTTTTAATATTAACTCTAATGCTGATTTAATCCAGTATATTTCCAATGACAGTTTTATCAGTAGTCAGGAACTATGTTGAGTACCACACATATACAGTACTATCACTTTGCTACCTTTAATATCTTTTTATACTATATGTTGTTATAGTTACCTTGCTCCTTTTAAATACAGGAATAATTCTGACTGTTTATAGGTTTGAACCTTGAACTTTATATAATTTTGGACTTGAGTTTCACAATGTAGTTTAATTTTTTTGTGCTCATACTTGTTTTCCTCAGTTAATGTTAAATGTGGGGGCTAGCACTGTAGCTCAGTGGGAGAGTACTTTCTTAGTATTTATCTCAGTTTGATCCCCAGCATGGAAAAAAAAAATTAAGCTCTTGTTCCATGTATTACTGATTTTTTTCTAGTTTCAAGCAATTAAAATGACATTAAGCTAAAATAAAAGAACTATTTGTTTATATAGTTTTACATTCTAGTTCTAGAATTTTCCTGTTCTAATTTCTAGTTTGTTTTTTTTTGTAGTACTCTTTTTTGATAGTACTGGGGTTTGCTTGCACTCAGGACCTCACGCTCGCTAGGCAGATGCTCTACCACTTGAGCCATTCCGTCAGCCGTAGTTGTTTCCTTTTTATTCATCTGACCTTAACAGAGCAGAGTAGGAACATCATCTCCTCTCTTCACTGATATGCCTAGATACATGATTATTGAAGATTTCCTTGAAGCCAGATCATATTCTGGGTGTAGAAAATCCATCAACAGATTTTTCCCCTGTGTTCTGTACTATAGTAACAGCACCACCAAAGAGTACAGATGAGTTTCCTTTTGCTTCATGGTCACAAAGTCAATGAATTTTCTTTATTGGTGAACTTGTTTTAATTAACAAGTCCAGTGCAGTTCAGAAGGCATTCTAGAGAGTACATTATAAAGCTGAAAATACTTTTAGATTCATTAATGCTTTGGATAAGATGTCTTCCAACAGCTGCTGCATCCTCTGAGGATCAAAGTGACTTTTGCCATAATATTAAATGTCCTAAAATACTACTGACAGAAGCTGACAATGCTGCTATTTCTTATGCATCATTGTCTTTGCTTCTAGATCTAGATTATAGATTAGCCTCTGCCCTTGTTCAGATAAAAAACTATATGACAGCCAGGTGCCATGGCTCTCCCTTGGCTGAGATCAGGAGGCGGAGATGAGAAAGGTCACAGTTCAAGGCCAGCCCTAGCAAAAAGTTTGTGAGACCCCATGTCAGCCAATAAAAGTTGGGTGTTGTAGGGTGTTCCTGATGGCCTATCTATGCAGGAATTGTAAATAGGATGATCACGTTCCAGGTTGACCTGGGTATAAACATGAGACTCTATTTGAAAATTAAGGAATAGAGGGGATGTTGCTCCATTGGCAGAGGTCCTGCCTAGCAAGCACAACGCCCTGAGTTCTAACTCTAGTACTGGAAGGAAAGAAGAAAGGAAGGAGGGACGGATGGAGGTAGGAAAGAAATGACAAACCTATTGCCTATCCCACTTAGGTAATGTTAGAGAACAGATTCAGGTTAGCTATTATCATCTATATTTTTATACTATACAGGTTGCTCCCTATTTGTTGAAACACTACATCCAATAGACATTTGTAGCAGTAAGCTCCATCACTATACCACCAGTAAAAAACCAAAATACAACTAGTACACTTAAGAATGTCAGCAGTTGGGTGACATTCAAGTTCTCTGCTTGGAAGACAGAGATTATAGTTCAAGGCCAGCCCAGGCAAAAAGTTAGACCCCCATCTCAACTAATCTGGGCATGGTGGCAAGCACTTGTATTCCCTGCTATTCAGGAGGCAAAAGTAGGATTGCAGTCTTGATCAGCCTGGAAAAAAAATGTGAGACCCTATTCAAAAAGTAACAAAAGCAAAACATGCTGAGGGTATGGCTCAAGTGGTAGAGCACCTGCCTTTGAAACATGAGGCCCTGAGTTCAAACATCACTACTATAAACACAAAGAATGTAAGCAATTATAGTAATTTCCAGAAGCTTGTATAAGCAGTGCCTGACTATGAAGATACAGTATTTGTTTATGAACAGTAATGTTAGTAAGTATTGTTATTAGCTTTCCTCAGTTGTTGTTATTGGTTTGAGTCCATTTCAGTGCCATTTTGGACAGGCTTCCTATTCAGTAGTGAAACTTCAGTATAAATAGCTTGGCTCTGTTAAGCTCTCTCAAAGTGTGAGATAATATAAGAGTATAGGTTGGTGCTGGTTTCATTGGTAATGAGAATGTCTTTAAGTCATATAGTACACACAGGGAATGCTCAGGTCGATACAGATTTCTCCCAATGTACACCTTAAAGAGTAAGGACAACATGAAAAGATTTAGGCTACCTGGAAGAAAGCAGTGGCCTCAGAACCTAAGCTTGATATCTGACCAGCTTTTTACTGTTTTCCTCAAGCAAGCTGACCATGCTTGGATATTTTATCCCTTCACGTGATACGCTTTCTAATGACTCCCTACATTCCATGCATTTCTCTCCATCCTGAGGCTATTCTTTTCTTTAGGTCTCTTCTCGCTAGCTCTGTAAGGAAATATAGGCCCCAAAAGTGACCATGTGGAGAGGAGTGATCTGGCCAAGAGATTCTTTATTGCCGGGTGAGAGAGGGAGAGAGCAGAGAGCCGAGAGAGAGAGGGAGAGAGAGAGAGAGAGAGAGAGAGAGAGAGAGAGAGAGAGAGAGAGAGAGAAAGAAGAGCCCAGAGAGAGAGAGAGAGAGAGAGAGAGAGAGAGAGAGAGAGAGAGAGAGAGAGAGAAGGGGCTTAAATACCCTCAGTGAGATTCAGCATGATCTGATTGGTTAGGATCTTATGGTTCATGCTGATTGGAGGTTGGGGCAGAAGGAGGATTCAAGCTAGACTTGAGGCAGGACTGTGACCCTTTGAGGCAGTACCGTGACCCTGGAAAACAGAAGCTTAAGGGTGCAGTAAGAACCGAAACCTATCGGCGCCATTATTGCCAACAAGCTCCATGTCCTTCCCTTTCATGACTCCATTCCTCCATTGTTTCCTCACATATGTACTTAGGTCCATGTATATGTTTTTAACTTTGCACATCTGTAAATGTGGAGAACTTGCTGAATATATTTCTTCTCACCCCTTTTACTTCTAAATTGCAGCCCATATTTTAGAGTGGACCAGTTTTGAAAATCACTTAAGTTTTTCTAAACATAATCTAAGCATATTTGCCTCCATGCTTCCCTCCTGTTTGAACTTTGCTAATATATTTGTGGTTTTTGATGATATACACTTGAATTTCATTCGGTGATTTTTATTATAGGATTTTAGAAATTAAGAATGCTGATTTTTAAAATTGCAAAATTTGCAAATAACATTGAAAAATAGTGAACACTAATTTATACAGGATTTAAGAAAAATTAAGATGCTATTGTGAACACTAACAAAATTAAATTTACTGATTTGACAAAAAATTTTGGCAAATTAGTATTTTAAATAATTCTAAAAATGTTACAGTGTGGTTCAACCTAACAGTTAAATTAACAAGTTTAATTAAGGTAAGTGTTTTATTTAGAGTTCACATTATTATTCTGAAGGCACAGCTACAGTCTTAGTCTCACATTACAGTCTGAAAGGAGATACGTTGGTTAAAATAAAGACCTTTGGCTTTAAATTGGTTTATTTTCACTTACTGACTTACTTAATTTTATATGGGTAGATAATTAAAACAAAATTTTTATGTGTGTCAATTTTGTTAAAAGGTTTAATGATCCCCCCCCACCCCAGGAATGTTACTGGTAGCTTTGGAGGAGAAAAAAAGCTTACTTGATGGATAGATTCCCAGTATTTCAACAAATATCTATAATTACATTTAAAAAGTTCTGGGAAAAAGCTTTGAATACTAAGAGTTCCTTTGTAATAGAATGTCTTTATGTAAGGATTGCTACATACTGATGATTTTCTTCAAATTCTCTTTTTTCCTTACCAGCCAGGCCTACAACTCCTCTTTCTATAGGTACCATTGTCCCACCTCCAAGACCTGCTTCCAGACCAAAGCTTACTTCAGGCAAACTCAGTGGGATTAATGAAATAGTATGTACTCAAGATTCTTTTTTTAATTATATGGTTTGATTTAAGATGAAAATGCTGTCTTTCTGTATGCTCCTGTACAGTTAAATGCTTGAAGTTTTCTGCTCAGTTCCTCAAAGAATGGATAGTTTTTCCAGCCAGTACTTTCCATTCTTCATTCTCCTTAGCACACCAACAATCACACCTGTGAAGAAGCCTTGTCAGTAGGAAGATTTCCTGAGAAAGTTGGCTCATTATAAAGACACCATTGAAAAAAAAATAAATAAATAAAGACACCATTGAGAACCCATTGTCTCCCAGTAAAGAAGCAATTTTCATGGAATTCTGCCTAAAATCAAATACTAAGGAAGAAATGGTGGTGTATTCTTTAGGCCTGAAAAGTATATTGCCAGGAGGGTCCTGGAGGTCATTTAGTCCAACTTTTTTTATATATAGGAAACTGGACTCCACATCAGTGACATAAAAGTACATGTGGAGTGAGTGCAGTGGTTTTCATGAGTCATCTAATACTGACAGAATATCAGAACAAGACTCTTCCAGACCAGCCTTCTTCCCTACGATCTGTTCTGCTCTGCTTCATCCACACTAATTATTAGTTTAATTGCCAGAATTAAATTTCTAAAAGTCAAATTTTATCTTTTTTTTTTTTTTTTTTAATTGCCCACCTTTCTTCTCTCTAGCCTAGCTTCCAATCACTAAAAACTTTCTGGTGTTCCCTAAACATATTATGCTCTTTGTTTTGTTTCATTTTTTTTCTAGTGGGGATTGAATCTAGGGCCTTGTATATGCTAAGCATGCATTGTACCTCCAGTTCTTTTATATATTCATGTTTTCTTACTGTGCTCCTTCTGTTTGAAGTGCCCCCTCAGTTTTCTTTGTAGCACATTAGCCTCTTTCCTTAAGACCCAGTTCAGTTTCTTCATCTAGGTGAAGCCTCCTGCAGATTTAATCATTCTCTTGCTTATATTTCTATTAGTGCACATATAACATTGACTTTCTTTGTGTATGTTACCCTTACTGGACTGTGTTTTAGCCAATTTCATATCCTCAGTATTTTGCATATTGCCTGTTACACGGTATATAGCTAGGAAATGTTGAGTGAATTGAGCACATATTGGAATAGTGACCTCTTTCACTTTCTGTCCCAGTGAAATGAAAGACTAGGTATAAACTACCAAGGAGATAACTATGATTTAAGTAATATAAAACATAGTATGAATTAATAAACTTGTTTTTTAATTACAAAAGCAGTGCATGATCATGTTGTAAATTTGGAAAATACACAAAATAGAAAACTGAAAATTCCCTCTTTTATTACTTAAAGAGAACTGTTGTTAACATTAAGCAGTAACTTACTGGGCACATATTAGCTAGTTAACATTAGGCAAGTTATTTATTCTTGACTCCTACTTTCCTCATAGGTAAAGGGAGTATGGTACTCTGTTGTTATGAGACTTAAATGACTTAATGTGTTTAAAACACTTATGAGATCGTAGAGTATAGGTAATTGCTCAAAAATCATTATGAATTAGATATTTTAAAATAAGAATTCATTCTTTATATATTTCTAATTAACTTTCCATTGAAAATATTTTTGGAATGTCTTTCTCTATCATGAATTATACTTAATTTTCAGTCTTTGTAGTAGAGTCCTTCATCAAATAATTATAAATTCTAATTGTATTGAAATTAAAGTGGGACTTTTCATATCAACCTCCATCCTTGAGATCCTTCTGGAAACCACTCCAAGGGCTTCAGGGAGCAACATTGGACATTGCGGCAGAGTATTTCAGTGTGTTAGTGCTCTGACTTCTGCACTGTCAGAATTAAATTTCTAAGAAGTTTTAGAAATTTGACATTTAGTTTATTTCTAAATCTTTATTATTAAAATGGCTTAATGAATATCCTGTGTTTACCTCTTCACATACATTTACTGCTTCCTTAGTAAAAATGTTTAAAAGTGAAATTCTGGGCTAAATGATATGTGTACACTTATTTTAAAACTATTGATAATTCCTGCTGCATTACCCAGGAGAAAGCACACCCTCCTCACCCTGAGGGAAGCCCTAGTGTTTCAGAGCAGTGCTGCAGCAACAGCATCACCTGGGAACTCAGTAGAAACAGATCAGAAACTCAGGGTAGGCGCCCAGTAATCTGTGTATTAACAAGCCCTCCAAGGGATTCTCTTACTCATTTATGTTTGAGAAACACTATATTAGAGCAGTGCTACCCTCTAGAAATAGAGTGAAAGCAACGTACATGTTTCACTCTCTAGGAATCAATAAAAAAGTAGAAACATTCCCGGTGCCAGTGACTCACATCTGTATTCCTAGCTACCTGGGAGGCTGAGATCAGGAGAATCATAGTTCAAGGCCAACCTGCGCAATAGTTTGAGAGACCTCATCTCCGGAATAACCAGAGCATAATGGACCAGAGGTGTGGCTCAAGTGATAGAGTGCCTGTTTTGCACTGTGAAGCCCTGAGTTCAAACTCCAGTCCCACCAAAAGGAAAAAGAAAAGTAGAAACAGTGAGGTTTTTAATATATTCTACTTTCACCCATTATATCAAAAACATTATTTTAATGTGTTCAGAATAAAATTATTAATGAGATTTAGCATTCTTTTTTTGTAAATGCTGTCTCCAAAGTTCACTCTATTTTATACATCTCCATAAACTAGCCACATTTTAAGTGCTCTTGGCTGCTGTCCTGGATAGCACAGTTCTAAAAATAAGAGAAAAATACTTGAGGAAACAGCTTGAGTTGCCTTTTCCTTAAGAATTGTAAAATACACTATAAAAATATAGCCACGTCATCTTACCTGTGAAGCCATGTTGTCATAGGAGATACATTCCCCATGGTAGTCGATTTAAAGAATTTTCCAGCCTGAGCTTTAGTTCAGCTGTTGAGTTCAGTATTTGCTCAGCCCCATGTCCTCCACTGTCTCCATCTTTATAAATGTACAACTGTATTTCTAGAACCTTGCTGTGTTTTTCAACCTATTGTCCATAATGATGAGTCATTATCTGTACTGGAGAAAAAACAGTTTAAAAATAGCTAAATGGCAGAGGGGCACTTTGTATGCTAGAATCTAACTTTTATGAAAATATAGTTTACCTTTAAGTTTTTATTAATACAATGAAGAGTATTAACTAATTTTGTATATGAGTATTTGCAATAATTTTGTATTGTGTTTATCTTTTGCTTTTAAGCAGGAAAGGGTTTCTTTTAATTAAACTATGCTTTATTTTAAAAAAAAGTAAAACATCTTAGGAAGTGTTGCTACTGTATTATTAGAACAATTAGGAATTTGGAAAGAAAAAGTCCATTCACCAAGGTAAAAGATAAATGAACTGGAGATATATTTTTCCTGTTTTTGTTGTTGTTGTTTTTCAATGGTTAACTAGAAAAGTGGGAAAACAACAGAATTCTGATTTTCTCAAACCTTTGTATGGGGTAAGCTTTCTTAATGAGGAGGCATTACAAGGAATTACAAAGGAAAATGTCAAAAGATCTGTAAGCATGACAAGTACAGGGCAGCAATATTTATGAGGAAAATATTTGCAATGAATAAGGTTAAGGGTTAGTGAAAGTTCAGGTTATATACTAAGATGACCTCCCTTCCCCAAAGAACCACATTAGACCATTCATAAAAGGTTAATCAGAACATTCAAAAATTATCTTACCTTCTGTGACTGATCCATTCATTGCAACAGGGTACAGAGAAGTAATCTCATGTCTATACAAGTAGGATGAAGTGAATAACCTTTATGGGAAGTGATTTGGTAGTTTAGTCATTTAACTTCTGAGTATCTATATTAAGTATAATTTTTTGAAATACAGATAACACTTTATGTACTAAGATGCTCTTGACCACATTATTTTAAAATAACCTTTTCAGCTTACAGCATATTCTTGAAAATGATTTGACATATGGCACCTCTGTTTTTTAGTTTCAAAGAAACACAGTAAATTTGGCTTGGCATGTTAAGTTAAACTCACCAATAACTTAAAAATCTTCTCTGTCAAGGAAGGAATTATTTTAGAATTTTGACAAATAACTTTTTGTTTTTAAGCCCAGGCCATTCAGCCCACCTGTAACTTCCAATACCAGCCCACCTCCTACTGCTCCCTTAGCCCGGGCAGAAAGTTCTTCCTCTATCTCATCCTCTGCTTCATTGAGTGCTGCCAATACTCCTACAGTAGGTAAGTGATGATCACCAATTATGAAATTTAGCATACAATGTATGATTAGGCTTATATATCTGTTTTAAGTGGGCTAGTGAACAATTTAACATTAAAAATGTTTTTTGGTTTTCCGTTGTTTTTGAAACACACCTGACACTGTCAAACTGGCCACATTTCCTTTACTTTTTCAGCCTTTTTAAAATCTAGATTAGAAGAATTTTAACTGGATAAACCATTAAGAATAAGGCAAATTTGTAAACTGCTAGTCAATATAAATGGTTCTAGGAAAAATACAATGCATTCCTTTCTATTGTGAACTGATAGGTACATTCTTAAGAAAGGTTGTGTGCTGGGTGTGGTGGTGCATATCTATATTATAACTACTTGGGAGGCAGAGATTGTGAGGATTGTGGTTCATGGCCATCGAAGGTAAAAAGATAGTGAGACTCCATCTTAACAAATAAACTCTACATGATAGAACATTTCTATAATCCCAGTACCACAAAAAAACCCACTTTTGTGTTTTGAAGACAGTTGATTTAATAAAAGGGTTTTGTGCTTGTAGTAGGTTCTAGGTTCTATTTTTCCATAGGAACTTGAATCATTAGGATTTAATATAGCTACTGGATTAGCCAGGATACACATGCCTGTAACCCTAGTTCCTCAGAAGGTGGTTTGAGGCTACCTTCTGGGCAAAAGTTAGCAAAGCCCAATCTCAACAAACAAGACAGGTGTAGTGGTGCACATCTGTAATTCTAGCTATGCAGAAGGCATAGGTAGGAGGATCACAGTCTGAGGCTGGCTCTGAGCAAAAATGTGAGACTGTCTGAAAAATAGTTAATGCAGAAAGGCTGGGGATATGGCTCAGGTGGTAAAGAACCTGCCTAGCAAGTGTGAGGCTCTTGAGTTCAAACCCCAATACTGCTCCCCTCCTCCCAGTTATGTAAACCTAAACCTCGCCAAACAAATCCAGTATCTTAACTACATCTAGATTTTGCTCAACAATTTTTCCTGTCATCACCTTTATTCAATTCTTCTTACAAATTCTTACTACTTTTCTCACTCATTAATGTAATAAACAGCACAAAAGCCACAAACATAACAGTTTCTCATCAAGATTACAGCTGCCGTCTTGGTGCTGGTTGTCAGTAGTGCCGGGTTTAGCCTTGATAATACCAGTCCTCGATTTGCACTGACTACCAGCTCTCTAGTGTTCAAAATGTAACCTTTTATTTGCAAGCATCTGCCCCCCCACACACACAAGGTGCTTATTAGAGAGGTACTCACTCTGAAAGCAAGGCTACCTAGCTTTATAGGTCATCAAGGTGAGTCCAACAAGTGCAAGTTGGAGACAGCAGCTCTAATTAAGCTGATTTAATTATATCCAGTTTTATTTGTCAAAGCTTATATAGGAGAAATGCATCTTGTCTGCATGGTCATTGTGAAAATAGCATAAGGAATGTAGACTAGAAGGAAATGTGAAATGGTTTGATTGCTAAATGTCCAAACATAGTATCACTTTATTTTATGTACCTCCATGTATAGCATTTTCCCATCTTTTAACTTCATGTAAATTGAATATAACGAATAAGCTTGTACTTGTATTTGGTCTAATGAACACTTCATTCTTATTTTTGTGTAGGTGGTTTTGTTCATTTTTGTTTTCACAAAAATCTGTATTTTAGTCATAAAAATATAGAAGGGCCCTCCTTGAAATCAGGCATGTGGTCTGGGTAACCAAGTGGGCTTTAGTTCCTTTTCATGGCTCACATCATTCAGAAGGTTTTGTTTGTGATGGAAATGTTGTGTTAGTTTTGGTTGAAGTGGTTTTAGTCAGTGCTGGCAATGGAGCACTAGCATAGGTGATAGTAATCCTGCAGGCAAGGCAGGTGGCTGTGAATTTTGTATAGCAGGTCTTTCATTCTAGCTCAGAAATTCTCTTTAGTTATTAAGATGTTTACTTAGCTCTCTGTTTAGGTTTGAAGTTTTGATTCTTCTTGTTTCTTGAAAATGTTTTCTTTTCCTGCAATATTTTGTTTTATTTAAATATGATAGAAGATGATAATTTGATTGGGACTCTCTCTGAAATTGAAAAGCACTGTGAAGCATCACCAGGTATTGTATCAGAAGCAAATGTGTATGTTGACTAATGATCCTAAAGTGTATCTAAAATATTTTTGTTACCTAGTTTTTCCTTTTCCAGCAATGTATGGTGTCTCAGAAAACAAGAATAACACTAAGATTTAATTATATCAGTTTTGTGCTAATTATGTCTAGTTTCTGTGCAAGATCCATTGACATCAAATCCCCAGTTATAAAAACATACATTTTTGTGTTTTTTTCTTCCATCTCCCTGCTCTCTCCTTGCCTCAACATTAAGATGTATCAATAAAGTATGAGAAAATATGAACTCTAAACCTACCACAGTAATAGAAAAGAGAGATGAGAAAAGAAGCAGAAAGAATTTATTAGCTTGGAGTTGTAATACCTAAACTACCAGAGCAAAGACAGCCATGTGAAAACCACATCTGTAATGAGCTAAAGATAAAAGCCCAGAAATAGGGAGTTGGGAGTGAGGGAGCCTCAGACTTTACTCCTGTGCTGAAAAAACTCCACATAAATATCCAGTGTTACAGGAAAGTCCCCTGTATGCTTTACTTACCTCAAATTTATAGGCTTCTTGTATTGTCAGAACACACACCTGTAATTAAACCAAAATGGGAAAGCAGAATGTCCTTAGTAAGAATACACATTTTTTTTCATTTAAAAAAGTTATTTAAATCAAAGAATAATATATTATTATAATTTTAGTTTTCTAGGGATTTAAGTAAATATTTCCTCTGTAAATTCATTTTCTCGAAAGTATGCCTGTGCAATATAGTCTTGAAAACAAAATAAGAAAATATAAAATTGGATATGCAGATAAATGTTAAATAGATACTGAGTTTCCCCCCAACTTTCCAAACACTTTCTCTGCTTGTCAACATTTCATAATAGGCAAGGTGGGAAATTATTTCAAGAATTCTCATGTTATATGACCAAACTGGAAGACTGAAAAGCATAACTAACTTTTTAAGCTTCTTTTTTTCTACTTCTTTTCTTTTCTTTTTTTTTTTTTTTGGCTTTTCCTTCTTTCTCCCTCCCATCCTCTATCCCCTCTGTTCTCTCCCCTGTGCTGGGGACTGAACCTTGACTGGCCTCATGCTTGCTAGTCAAGCATTCTACTACTGAGCTACATCTGCAGGCCCTGAAGGTTTCTTTTTATTTTTTTAGTCAAAGCTGTAGCAGACATTAATGTTACCCTTAACGTATGTACATATTCATTTGTGAGGGTTACTGAAGAGAAAACATTAATTTTACGTTTAATATAGGCATTCCTTGATATCCACATCATGGATGCTCAGATCCTTTGTATAAAATGTAGTATTTGCATGTAACCTATGTACATTCTCTTGTATACTTTAAGTCATCTGTATGTTATTTATAATATGTAATACAATTTGAGTGCTAATGAATAGTTATACTATGTTGTTTAGTGAATAATGACAAGAAAAAAATCTGAAGATGTTCATTAGACAAAATTTTTTTCCAAATATTTTTAATCCACAGTTGAATCTGCAGATATGGAATCTTTGGATATGAAGAACCAACTGTATAATTTTCCTTAATAAAAGATGGTTATTGGAGCTGAGGGCATGGCTCAAGTGGTAGAGCACTTGCCTCATAAGTGCCCTGAGTTCAAACCCCTGTACCTCAATAAATAAATAAATAATACAAAATATTATTGGACTGCAAGTATAGTTTAGTGCTTGCCTAGCATGCACAAGGCCCTGGATTTGATTCCAAGTACTGTGCGTATATATAGTAACAGGTCTTGGCAATGATAGTGGAGAAAATCAGAAGCCCTTGTGCATGATTGATGGGAATGTAAAATGGCACAGCTCCTGTGAAAAACAGCATGGCAGTTCCTCAAAAAATTGAACACAGAGCAACCATTTAATCTTAACAATTCCATTTTTGGATAAGTACCCACATAAACCCCCAAAAATTGAAGGCAGGATCTCAAAAGGGATAGTTTTATATCTGTGTTCATATAACGCCATTTACAATAGCTAAAAGGTAGAAGCAACCCAGCTCTGTTGATAGATGAGTAGATACCAAACTGTAATATATGCATACAATGGAATATTATTCAGCCTTTAAAAGGAAGGAAATTCTCACATATGCTACAATATGGGTGAAACTTGAAGATATTGTGCTATCAAATACTGTTTGTACTTAGGGTGGTCACATTAATAGAAACCAAAAGTAGAATGGTGGCTGCCAGAGGCTGAGGAGGTTATGGAGGGTTATTGTTGAATAGGCATAGAGTTTCATCTTTACAAGATTAAGAGAGTTATGGAGATGGATGGTGGTAATAGTTGTACAGCATTATGAATGTATTTTATATTGCTGAACTATAAAATATACATAAAATGGTTATAGTGGTAAATTTTGTTATGTACATTTTACCACAGTAAAAAAACAAGAGAAAAAGATTATTATAACCTTTATATTTCCCTAAAAGTATACTTTCCTGAAATTCTGATGAATCTGTGTTTTAAAATGTTAGAAAAACATTGAACTAATTTAGATTTACAGTGAAATTTTCCTAGTGTACAAACATACAGTCATGTTGTGATCAGTGAATTTATATTTCCTCTGCTTTTTCTTAACATTTTCTCACTTTAATGCTGAAACTAGTACTTCTTGATTAGGTCTTATCTTTTCCCTGATCACTCTATCCTGATGCAAATTTGAATCTCTGCCAACAGATATTTTTCTCATCAATCCAAGAAATAGTATTCATAGTGATTTTACCAAATAAAAAAATCTAATAAAGTTTCTCTTAAATGTTGTTAATGGTTTATGGTGCAAAAAGAATATAATTACAGGTTTCCCATGCCCCGATCTGGATCATAAACAAGTTCTCCGACCTGGTCTTCATGTCCTTTTATCATTTCAGGCAATCCCTCGTCCTCAGACATGCTCCTCATTTGCAAAACTTTCACCTGTTATTTAAAAAGGCTCCATTTTTTTTTCATGTCTCCTTAGCAAAGTGCTTGGCACATGCTAGTAGTTAGTAAATACAAGTTGAGCATCCCTAATTTAAAATACTCTAAAATCTGAAACTTGTTGACTGAAGTTGTAGATTCCAGAGCACTTTGGATTTGAGATTTTCAGATTAGGAATGCATGACCAGTAAAGTCTATGTAAATATTCCGAAATCAGAAAAACTCAAAAATGTGAAACACTTCTGGTCCCAAGCATTACAGGTAAGGGATTTTGTTGTACCTGCTGAGATTTTCATGAATCAATTTTTATATTACTGAATCTTGGGCTGGTGGGGGAGGTGAATTCAGGGCCTCACACTTGCTACGCAGGTACTCTACCATCTGAGCTACTCCTCTAGCTCTCCTTTGCTTTAATTACTTTTTGGATAGGATCTCACTTGCCTGGGGTGGGCCTCAGACTATGGTTCTCCTATTTACACTGTACTTGTAGGGGGATTATAGGCACTTATCACCAAGCCCAGCTTATTAGTTGAGATAGGGGGGTTTTGCTAATTTTTTCCCAAGGCCAACCTGGAACCATGATCCTCCCAATCTCCATCTCTTACATAGCTGGGGTAACAGGTGCAAGCTATGGCCCAATCGTTATATTATTGAATTCTTTATTTTCACATGAAATTTTAAGTTGTCTCATTTTGAAGAGTTTGTTTTTCCTAATACCCTGAAGAACTAGTTTTTGTCCATGTATTTTTCATGACCAAGCTATTTTTCTAACTATAAAGAATGTAAATCCCATCAAAATTTAGAATGCCACAAAATCTTCCTCACCTCTCAAGCTAATGAAATGTATTTTCTCACTTTTTGTAGAATGTCAGGTTTATTTGTGAGGCAGAGAGAGGAAGTACTGATTTTTATCAAAATGAATGCTCTTGATGGATTAGTCTGTCTTCTGTTGTGGCAAAATACCTGAGGTTAGGTGCTTTATAAAGATAAAAGTTTATTTAGCTCACAGTTTTGTGGGCTGGAAGTCCAAAATCAGATAATTTCGTTGGTTTGGCCACTGGTGTGGGCCTCGTGGCAGATGGCCTTGAATGATAGGAGCGCATGCAGGAGAGATCATGTGGTAAAACAGGAGGGGGAGGGGCCAGGCTTGTACTTCTATTACAACTGCCCTCCAGAGAACTCACTCTAGGAGAGCAGCATTAATCCCTTTAGACAGCAGTGCCTCAATGACTTAACCCCCTTCTCCAGGCCTCACCTCCTAAACACTTGAGACCAAGCACATCTTCAGTATATTAAACCTTTGACGGGACAAGCCATACCCGAACAAGAGTGGCAGGTGTCTCAAAAGTGATTCAGTCTTTTGCTGTAATCATATCTGAAATAAAAATAAATGATGACTTATCATTGATTTCAGAGCAATGTGTTAATATAAGTTCGTGTTTTTTCTGTAGATAATAATGAATAATTATTTTTAAAAACTCTCCTGTTGGCATTTTTATAAAATTGCATCATATGTTATATTCTAAATGAAATTCTCTACTTTGGAAAATCAGCAGAAGTGGTAAGGCATACAGTCTGTGAAGAGTTCGGATGTGAAGAAAGAACAAAGACATTGTACTATTTGGGGGGGAATTGGGTAGGTTAAAAAACAACAACCACATGCATAGGTTAAAGTTCTAGTTTGAATGTGAATTGTCCCACAGGGCTTATGTGTTGAATGCTTGTTCTCCATCCAGCTGGTGATGGCTGTTTTGGGAAGTTGTGGAAACTTTAGGAGTGGGCCCTAACTGGAGGAAGTAGGTCCCAGAATGCATGTCTTTGAAGGTTGTTCCTAATCTTTGGTCCCTTCCTCTTTCCCTCCTTCCTATCCTTCATGAGGTGAAGAACCTCCCTGCCACATCCTTCTGCCACCATGGTGTTCTGCACAAGTGTGTGGGACCAGACAACTATGGACTGTACTGAAACCCTGGGCCCAAACTAAATCTTTCCTCCTTTTAAATTGTTATGTCAGATATTTTTTCACAATGACCATAAAACCGATAGATACAGTAGGTTAAATTTGTTCTTATTTTATTATGTTTTTAAAAACTTTCAGATTTTAGAGCATTTCAGATTTTGAATTTTTGGATTAGGGATGTTCAACCAGTAATGCTTATACAAATATTCCAAAATCTGAAAAACTCAAATCCTAAACACATCTGGTCCCAAGCATTTCAAATGAGCAATATTCAGGCTGCATAAGCATCAAAGAGAAAGTTAAAGAGAATAATAATAACAATGAGCAGTTCACACAACATTATTATTTGGATAGGCATAATTTACATATAAAAATCCCAATTTTAAGTATGTGATTGATAGAACCCGAAAAAATTCCATATTTGAAGTTTTGGGAAGCCATAATAGTAATTTTAGCTTTTCAAGCCAAGGGCCTTTTCCTTCTGATGTTCCTTAACCAGCCTGTGCCTTTCCATTTAAAAGAAGATTCCAGTTGTATGATATGTCTTCCAGATGTTTGTCTTTTGTATCGTGTTCTAGTTTGTTTTATGCTATATTTCTTAATCTCGGGGCTATTATACATGGGGCATTATTGAAACCAGTAATGGAATCATTTATGGTACCCTAACATTGTGAATCTGACTGTCTTGATATTTATTATATGCCTTTTTGAAGGATTTAACAAATGAATTGTATATAGGTGTGTCACGAGGTCCCAGTCCTGTCAGCCTTGGAAATCAAGACACCTTACCTGTGGCAATCGCCCTTACAGAATCTGTTAATGCATACTTTAAAGGAGCAGATCCTACCAAGTGAGTTTTTAGAATATTTGTGCTTGTTTGTGTGTGTGTGTGTGTGGTGTGTGTGTGTGTGTGTGTGTGTGTGTGTCCAGTTTATTTACACTCTTGCCCACGCTGTTTGCCCAGGATGACACATCTGATGGTGTATCTTTGGTGAAAGTGTACATTTCCTAGAGAGACCTAGAATGCATGTTTAATATGCGATTCTTGCAGAATTGGCTTATATTTGGGTGAATATTAGTCCTGCTTTCCCTGCATAATATTATTCAACATACATTCATTTATGGAATATTTGAGCACTTTCTATGTGTAAGATTCTACAGTAAGTGCTGAGGATACTTAAGTAAACAAAGCAAAGTTCTCTTCTGAGCTTGCATTGTACTAAGGGAGAAAATCAAAGAAACACCCTCATGTATTTGGCCTTGAAATATGTTCTAGACCAGGTTAAGAGTAGGGTTGCTGTTTTAGATGGAATGACTGGGGAAATCTTTTTTGAGGTTAATTTAAGTAGATATTTGAAAGATGTGGAAGAGCCAGCCATGCAGGTTATCTGGAAGAACAACACTGTAGGAAGAGGGAACCAGCAAATGGAAGGATCTGGCTAAAAAAATTGCTTGATGTATTTGGGAAATGGCAGGGTGAAACATGTCACTGAGTAGGAGTAAACAAGGAGGAATGTAGTTGAAGATGGATCCAGAGATGTACCAGATCCAGTCAGGCATTGTATGCCATGATAAGGAATTAGGAGTTCTATTTTGAGTGAGGTGGGAAGCTATTGGAACCTTTGAGCAAGAGAGTGATGAGATTATTTATGTTTTTGAAAGAGTAATCTGTCTGCCCTATGGAGAATAAATTGGAGCCAGAGTAGATGCAGGGAGAGAGGGAGTTAGAGGATTAACTACAGAAGCCTAGGTAAGAGATTTTTTGGTGACTTGAATTAAATATATTAGCAGACTGAGTAATGGTGAGCTTCTGAATATATTTTATAAAAGTTAAGATTTACTGAGGGAGTAGAATGCTACTTAAAGAAGTCCTTGTTAAGTGCTCTTAGTAGAGAGGTTGAGTTGATAATTGGTTGAGTTGATTCTAGAGTCCAGGGAATATATTTAGGCTAGAGATAAAATATTTGGTAGTCACTGGTTTGCATATAATGCTTAAAGTCCAGGGCCTTAAAGAGTAGGTAGAAAAGAGATTGGGGAACTGAATCCTGGTCCCCTTCAGTGTTGAAGACAGAAAGACAAGAATGATCCAGAAAGGGGATTGAGATAGTAAGCAGCAAGAGAGGGGAAAAGAGAACCAATAGAGTAGTGGCCAGAAACTAAATCAATAATCTGAAGCTATAGCTGATGCTGCCAACTGGGCAAGAAATACTGGTCATTGGCTCCTTCTCAGGAGCAATGTCAGTGGCATGGAGGAGATGAAAGCCTGTTTGGAGGGAGTGCAGCAGCAGGAGGTGATACAGATCTAAGCACCTGTATCTGGAAAGAACAAATGTAGATAAGTCTTTGGATGTTTTGCTGTAAGTGGAAGCAGAAATGTGGAATAGTAGTGGGGGAGAGATGGCAGGATAAGAGGAGGGTTTTATTTATTTTAGCTTCTGTGTATTTATTTAAAAGTGTTATATATTGCAGCATTCTATATATGCTGATGAGAAAGACCTAGTATTTGTGGGAGGGAAAACAGACTTGTAGAAAAAAGAACAGGTAATACCTAAGTGAGGTCCTTTGGCTTGTCAAGAAGAGGTAAGCTCCAGTACAGGGTCAGTGGGGTTGGCTTAGGTACAGAAATGGGCATTTGTTGAAACAGGAGGGTAGGCAAAAGATAGGATAATGAGGTTAGGAAGATTAGGAGTTTGGTAGTGAGAGTATGCAAGTAAGTTCTTTTCTGATTTTATTTCTTCATTAAAATTAAAAGCAAAGTCATCAGCCCAGAATGGAGGCAGGGAATATTGCAGGTTAGAAGAGAAAGAGACTATAAGAAGAGCAAAGGAATGAGTAGAAAGGTCATGTTGGAGGATTTCTAGGTTACTCTAAAAGGGCCATCTGAGTGTTTTAACTGTTTGGTTATGTATTTTTCTCTAGTTAGGTTCACCTGTATAGATGTAGGCAGGGTGTTAGATTTAGCCAAGACCATTTGGCTAGACAGTCACAGTGAAAGAAGAGCAAGAGATTTTTATGCAAAGGAGAGGGTTTAATGATGGGTCTGGAAATTGAAAGTGAAGGGAATGAGATGAAGGGTGAGTGAATATTAGTGACAAATGGTAGAAGCAGTGGGTTGTAGAGATTTTGATGAGGTTGGGGAATTGTTTTTTTTTGATGGTGCTGGGGTTTGAACTCAGGGCTTCATACTTGCTAGGCAGGTGCTGTTACCACCTAAGCCATTTCACCAGCCCCGAGGTTGGGAAATTGTTAAAGAGGTGGTGTAGACAGAATGAGTTTGAAGAAATAGAAAGTGATGAGTGGATGAATGGAGAATGTGAAACTGAGATTATGGCAGGACTGTGATATGACTGGGGTAGGCTGAAAGACATCGACATTGGAGATAAGAGGCTGAAGAGCTAGGTGACCAAGGTATTGAAAGGACCATTCGGGTGGATATTGAAATCACTAAGAATTATGTTAGTAGTTGTGACATAGAGACAGAAACTGGCAGCAAGCTAGGAGCTCAGATTTTCAGGAAATGAGAGGAAGAGTTAAAGATGACTTGAAACAGAAAAAGTCAGGACTGCTATGGTCTGATGCATGAATTTCAAAGGAGGAAAAAATAAAGGACTGGAAGAGGTAATGAGGAGCAAGGAGAGCACCTGCCACCACCACTAGCAGGCTCAGTGCTTTGTGCAGTTCAAGGCTGGGAAATAGCTACAACTAGTGACTGTATTACCAGGGAAACAATTCCTCACAGGTTATGCAAGGGATGGTTACCACAAAAAAGTAAAGTAACATTATCTGTGTACTTGTGTTTGGAATTTATTTTCAGGGAAAGTTGATGCTAGTTAACATTTTATTTAAGCACTTGCCAACATCCCCATTTCCAGGTGTATTGTGAAGATCACTGGTGATGTGACAATATCATTTCCAAGTGGAATTATTAAAGTCTTCACTAGCAATCCCTCTCCAGCTGTGCTGTGCTTCAGGGTGAAAAATATCAGCAGACTTGAACAAATTCTTCCAAACGCACAACTTGTGTTCAGGTTTGTATACTTATGTTTTGAAGGTTAAAGTTTCTTTTTAAGAAAAGTTTTCCTCCTTTGAAATAATAAGTACAAAAATAATTTTTTATTAATATTAAACAACCTCTGACTAGGGATGTAACTTAGTGGTATAGTGCTTGCCTGGCATGCTCAAGGTGTTAGGTTTGGTTCCTAGCATCACCAAAAAATAAATAAAACAGCCTCTGCTGTCTTTCTGTTTTGTTTTTGGTATTAGTTATAGTTACTTTTCAGGCATATTTCTACTGTGTTCCATTCTTTATTCTCTAATCTTAGTTTTCTCTCATTCCATCTTTTGGTTCATTTCTCGTAGTCTTTCCCAGGTCACCAAATTACTACATAGAAGCAAAGGAAAAAGATAAGTAAAATAAAGTAACAAAAACATTTCTTATGCATATAGTGATCCATCACAGAATGATTCCAACACAAAAGATTTCTGGATGAACATGCAAGCTGTTACTGTCTACCTCAAGAAGCTATCAGAGCAAAATCCAGCTGCTTCTTATTATAATGTAGATGTATTAAAGTATCAGGTGAGTGTCACGTCATTGTAAAAATCCTAAATTTACACATTGACAAATGGAATCTGGTATAACACTAAGTGAATAAATGAGGTTCATTCCAGTGGTGGTGCAAAAATGTTTCCAAATTAGAAAATCTATTAATAAGTGAATGGCTGTTTCAACCAGTTTGATACAATGTTGCCATCTATTTGTGATTAAAATGCTGAGTAAATATAAGTATGTGAATTTGTACTTAACCTGAAAAGAGCAGCAGCATTAGTTGATTTTTTTTTTTTTTTTTTTTGTGGTACTGAGGCTTGAACTCAGGGCCTTCACCTTGAGCCACTCCACCAGCCCTATTTTTGTGAAGGGTTTTTTGAGAGAGGGTCTCGCAGAACTGTTTGCCCAGGCTGGCTTCGAACAATGATCCTCCTGATCTCTGCTTCCTGAGTAGCTAGGATTACAGGCGTTAGCCACCAATGCCTGGCATAGCATTAGTCTTAAAGCTTAAAGTCAGGTTTGGCAAAGACATTATTTTTCCAGTTAATACTAACAGAATTTAAGGTTTGTCTGGATGTGTTAGCTAGTATGGTTAGATAAGAGGATAAAATAAGCAGTAATAAATATTAGAAGAAGGGAACTAAAATTATTGCCCACAGGTGATGTATTCTTGAAAAACTCGAGAATCCATAGAAAAACTGTTATGATGTAAGGGAATTTAGTATAAAGGCCTATTTAAAAATTAATGTAAAATTTATAACTTTCAAACAATTAAAAAATGATTTTGAAATAGTTACAAGGAAGAAACAATGTAATCTCTGTATTTAAAAATGTGCTTTATTCATTTAAAGGGAAATTCATGTTGGAAATGTTTAGCTGTTTCTAAATTAACGTAGAAATTTAATGTAGTCTGTGTTTATGTTAGAAGACCTGATCATAATTTTTCAATTCTCTGGAACAAAGCTCAGAAGAATAAGTCAAGAAATGTTTTAAACAGTAAAGTGGAGTAATGTTTAATTTTAATAAGAAAACATATAAGGCAACAGTATTTAAAATAGTTTGGAACTGGTACAACAATATATGGCCAGATGAGTGGAATAGATTAGAGTATCCCCAAATAGCTCATAATAGATGAAAAATTGTTTACATGACAAAGTAGCATTTCAAGGCAATAAGAAAACAATGAATTTTTCAATAAATGATAGAAGGACAGAAAGGTAGTCATTTGGGGAGAAAATTAGGTTGATTCCATACTTAAAATCCACATGTATCAAAGGTTTAAATAAATGAAAGCATAAAGGAACTAAAATAAATATGTATGTGAATATGTGTATGCATACATATTATGTATTTAGTGTATATTTTAATTTTGAAGTATGGAAGACCTTCAAAATGGGATTTAAAACCCAGAGGTATAAGAAGAGAGTGAGGTATTTGACACAAAAATAAATGAGCGTATACATAAAATACTTGTTTAAAAAAACCTTAATCAGTATTCTAAAAGAAAAGTATTTGCAACACATAAGGTCAACTGAAGGGCTTTCCCACCCAGCAGAGCTGTTATAAATTAAGTAAAGGTGAATAACTCAGTGGACAACTTACGTAAGGATGTTCCATGTCACTCGTATTCTCAGCAATGGATACTAAGGCAGTGAGGTTTCAGTTTTAGCCCATCACATTCACAAGAATGAAAAATTGTTGTATACAGTATTAAGTGGGACATGACCATCTGTAAATAAGAATACAGACTAATAGAGCCTCTTAAAAAGGAAATTGGGAAATTGTATTAGATTGTTGGATAGAAACAACCTTTAATCAACAGTTCAACTTTCAGATATCTATTCTGCAGAAATCACATTAAGTGGGCAAAGAAAAACTATAAAATCTATTCACTGCAGCATTGCTTGAAAACCACTGAAATATACATTGACAGAAAGATATTGATTAAAGGAATTATTGCAGCCATCACAACAAATGAGATGGATCCATGCTTGCATGTGCCTAAAAGGTCTGGAAAGATATGTACCATGATATTAACAGTGGACTGGGGCATGGCTCACGTGGTAGAGCACCTGTCTAGCAAGTGTGAGGCCCTGAGTTCAAACTCGGGCACTGCCAAAACAGAAAACACCGCCCCCCAAATAAAATAATCTTAAGGGTGGGCTGGGGAAATAGTACAGTAATAGAGCGATTGCCTACCATGTGCAAAGTCTTGGGTTTCATCCCCTGTTCCACAAAGAAAGAAAAAAGAAGAGAGGGAGGGAAAGGAGAAAGCTAGAAATAAATTTCCTATTTTATTTATTTCTTTGTTATTTGAATTTTTAATAGGAAAATTATTAAAATGACTTACATTTCTAGAAGATAAATACTTAAAGAGAAAAAAAAGTTGTCACTTACGTTAACTTAAAGGTTATTACACATACTCATTTATTCCTTCATTCAACAGATATTATTCAGTGCTTGCTAATTTCTAGGAGTAGGACAGTGAGACAGTAAATAATATTGTATGTTAGAAAATAAGTGACATGGGGAAAAGAAAAGTATAAAGCAAGGTAAGGAATATTGTAAATGTAATTTTCAATGAACATTTTAAACAGGGTGATCAGGTTCACCTTTCAAATGGCTTCAGAAGGAGCCAATAGAGCAAGGAGCTGAAGAATTGGAAGAAATTGTAGCATTTACTATGTGTTAGATAATTAAACATTTGAAGTTGGAAGTATTCTCATTCCCAGGTTGTGGAGCTGTATGGCGAGCCTTTTTTTTTTCTTACTGATTTAACTCTTGGATTCTTACAATCAGTAAAAAAAGCTTAGAATTCTTTGTTGAATATTGAGAGGTTCTTAGATTTTACACAAATGAAAAAGAATCACCCAATAGAATTCTGACTTCTGGACACTGTCGAATCATATTTTCTGCAGTTGGATCCAAAGGAGCATGCACTGTAAAACAGCAGTTTTCTTGTAGATAGTCCCAGATCCACAATCTGGGAGTATCTGTATCTGCTTTACTCTGCCTAGCAACAGACTGTCCCCTGGTTACTTAATTTCGATTCTGTAAATTCTTAACCTTCAGGTGTCTATATCACAAGCATGACTTGCTTATTCTTCAGGCCAAAGATAATTAATTGTTTGTTTCCTCTTTAAAGGTATCATCAAATGGCATTCAGTCCACTCCTCTGAATCTTGCAACATACTGGAAATGTAGTGCCAGCACCACAGATCTCAGAGTGGATTATAAGTACAACCCAGAAGCTATGGTGGCACCTAGTGTGCTTTCCAACATACAGGTGGTGGTACCAGTGGATGGAGGAGTTACAAACATGCAGTCCCTTCCCCCTGCCATATGGTAAACTAAATATATTTTAAATGCTTGCTACAGTCCCCAACTTTTAGAACTAAATTCTGAAAATTATCTTGTAAGTTTGAAAAGTTTTAGTGTATTTTCCTGTAAAACCATGCTGTAAAAAGTGCTGCTCATCTTAGTGGTCAAGCACAGTTTCTCAGCCCAAAACGAATAGGGCTAGTTCTGCTGTAAGCACCACCAAATACAAATTTTGAATGATTCTGTGGTAGCTTTATTCTGAAGAAAGTTGCTTAATCTTCTTAAAAATAGCAATGATTAATTTACAAGGTATATTTATAGAACATCTGTTTGCTTAGTGTTCAATAGTATTGGTTATTGCCATCTCTTAACCACCTCTCTTGTTCCCTCTGTTAATATTAGCATAGACTTTTGACAGCTCTTTATATTTGCCTCATCATTAAGAACAGTGCTTTCTTTAATTAATGTACTGAACCACATGTGTACACATTCAGTTTTCCTTTCTCTAACCACTAAAACACTATAATTTGGTAAACTTTAATAGGGAAAGATCAGCATTTTACTTATTTATACTATATCATAAACACATTTTCACCAGGTAATATTATTAGCACTATATTTGTCATAATGAAAATATTTTAAATGCATTTATGTTTTTATAGTCTCCATCCATGTATAAAGTACTATATATTAGACTCTTAATCTTTAGATATTTGTTCTAATTACAGGAATGCAGAACAAATGAAAGCCTTTTGGAAATTGTCTGGTATTTCAGAAAAATCAGAAAATGGAGGTAAGAGTATACTTGCTTTTTATTTTTCTTTGTATTGTGATATTATTGGAAGTGAATTTTTCTCTTACTCTCATGCTTTTTTTTTTTTTTTTTCCTGCAGTGCTGGGGATCAAACCCAGCACCTGGGCATGCTAGCTAGGAGTTGTATCACTGAGTTGCACCTCCAGCATCTTTTTTTTCCAAGCATATTATGGAAAGTTTCCTGGAATTTCATGTCTTCAGTTCTAGAACTGACCACTAGGTGGAAGTTAATACCTTAAAAAAATACACCAGCTAAGCACTTTTCCCCTCTAGATTGACTATGCTTTCTTTGTAAGAAAAAGAATTTGTTGTCATAACTTTGTAAATGTTATATAAATGCTTCTTATATTTATATGCTAACATTAAAAGAAAATACCTGCTGTCAGAGTAGCTCAAGTGGTAGAGTGCCTGCCTAGCAAGCTGAGGCCCTGAGTTCAAACCCCAGTACCACCAAAAACACCTAATAGAACTATGTATCCCAGGAAGGTAACCTGATAACTAATTGAAACATACTGTTCAGTTCATTCTGTAAATGGGGTGCTTTTGGCCCTCCTTCCCCCCAACCCCCACCCCAGCCAAATCATGTAGAAACCTCCAGGTTTTAATAAGCTTCTTTCTTTAAAGCTTGGTCATTTTCCCTTGTGAGAGCAACCTTCAATTCTGTGATGATTATTTTAAGGAAAAGTCAGTTAATTGTCTCTTCTCACTAACTTTGGATCTGTTCCTATTCACAATGCCAAGTAAAGGTCTCTGCTAGCTGATCACTGCTAGTATCTCCCTAACGCAACTTAAAATTAGGATTCAGTTCCCAGGACAGTCAAGTGTCTATCATTAGATACTCTCATTCTCTCTTAATTAAAAGAGAAAGTGCCTGTCTCCTTTTGAATGCCTAATTAGCCTCCAATAATGTTCCCTGTTGGGTAGGTTTTTTTGCTTTTCAAATTTTGCTTAGCTTTTTCTTTTTGAACATTTTGAGCATAATATCATTTTTCTCTTAATATTTCTGTTATTTATTTATAACTGCTATGCAGAATCAAACTCATACTGTTTTGCTATTTGGTACTTAAAAGGTGCTATTTTCAGGTGGCTGACTACACTGACATTTATCCTCCCTCTATGGCTTTTTTTTGGAAACCACACTGAAATTCCTAGTTTAAACTGGAAGTAAATCAGAAATTCTACTTGTATTAAGGACTTAGAACCAGCTAGCAAGGAAGGGAGGATGTCTTTTTCCTCTATTTAATGCAACTATACTATAATTGTAAATATTTACCAAGAAAGAAAATTTTTTCCCAAAAATAAGACCCAAATTTTCTAATTAGATAATTTTCATAGTTTCCCTGTATTCAGGGAGAGCATCTATGTGAGGAAATAGAAAAATCTTTTCAAGTCTTTAAAAAGAAATACCCAAATTCAAATTCTGTAAGATAGAAATCTGTTTTGTATTCTGGCTCTGCAACCCGAAAAGGGAAAGGAAATAATTCTAAAGTTTAAGAATTGTCAAGGTTACTGTTCTTCGCCAGTGTTGGAACTTTCATAGAACTTAATTGCTTATCAAGAGTTGTAAAAGTTAGCTGGGTGTGGTGGACACACCTGTAAATCCCAGCTACTTGGAAGGTGAGGCAGGAGGATCAAGGTCAGCCTGGGCAAAGTTAGGGAGACCCTCATTCAAAACCACAATACAAACAAAAGGGCTAGGGCAGGCTGGGGGGGATGGCTCAAGTGATAGAAAACTTGCCTAGCATGCCAGAGGCGCTGGATTTAATTTGCAGTACAAGGTATGTGGGGGTAAGGGAAGTATAAGGACTAAGGATTACTGGGACAGTAGTTAAGATTTAGACAGTAATTCATATCTACTCTGTTCTACACCACCAGGTTTAAGAGTATAGGATGGATCATCAGTTGATCAGTTGTGACATCTTGTTCCACGTTTCTCCCTGTAGTGTTAAACATCTGTCTAGGGGATCACAAGATCATTCTCCTGTTACGTTACCCAACAATTCTATCTACTTGCCTTCATCATAAATTTAGGAACCTTCCAGACTCCTACTCATTTCTTACCTCTTGATTCCAGCTCCTAAATCCCTTTCAAATGTATTCTGTCCTTGGCCCTACTTCTGATCTCTTTTCCTGGCACCAAGTATCCTAAACTGTTTTATTGTCTTGCATTTGGTCTCCCCACTTTGCATCTTGCTCCTCTCCTCCCTTCTAGGACACTAATCCAAGATACTGTATTCTTTACCTTGGGCGTTTTCCCCATGATTGTCATAAACTTCTTACCATGTCCTGGTGCTTGCCAACTACTCTAGTCTCATCTGCTGCTCTCCCCTATTTACATACTATTCTCCTGCAATTCTGATATAGGTACACTTCTCTTACATACATCATGCTCTCACAGGAATCCTGTCTCTGTATCTACTTCTGCCTAAAATACACACCATCATCATATCACCATTTATAACTTCCAGTAGAGATGTGTACTTTTGTTCCTGTGGCTTCTGAGAGCTCCTTTACAGCATTTATCTAGTATTCATTGTAATTACTGTTTTTCTGTTTCTGTCATGCTGTTAGACTAACATGTGTTGAGTAAATGATTATACATCCAAAAGAAGGACTTCCAAAATATCTAAGGGATGATGTTAGACCAGTAAAATTTTAAAAGTGAGTAGAAAATAGTCATGTTGATACTACTCTTCCCAGTAGTAGCCACCCTTTCCTTTACCTCTCTCATCCCCATGATCTGGTACTCAGCAGTCATTTCTTTTTGACATTATCCTATGTTTATACTTTCTAGGATTTCGCTCAGTTTTATGCCTTTCTTCCTGTTGACTAACTTTAACAGGAGACTCAATACAAAACATCTCTGAAGATTATTATTAAGTCAAAGAGATTACTTAGTAAAAATTCATACTCATTGAATAAAATCTAATTTGAAAACTATAGTGGTTTATTTACTGTACACATCTCACGAATTTGGCACAGGACTGATGTAGTTTAGTTTATGTGTTCATTTTACCTCATGTAAGTTCTTTATTCTTTGCTTTGTAGGTTCCGGGTCCCTTAGAGCAAAATTTGATCTTTCAGAAGGACCCAGTAAACCCACAACACTTGCAGTACAATTCCTCAGTGAAGGAAGTACCCTCTCAGGTGTAGATATTGAACTTGTTGGCACTGGCTATAGACTTTCCTTAGTAAAGAAGCGGTTTGCCACTGGTAAGTTGGGAGGATTTGAGAATTTTAATGTACATGGGAAGCATTTGTATTCTAGCAGTTAAACTGTAAAGCAGTTTATAATTTAAAGGTGTGGAAAATTTTTGCCCCACTCTTAGTACAAGATACCAGGTAGAGATACAAATGGTAGAATTCTCATGGTCAGTATAGCTGAACACCTGTGATGTGATTCTAAAATACAGTAAACAGCAGATGGGAACTAGGGTTCTGTGTTTGTAACCACAATGAGAAATGTCCTCCTCTGAGTGTATTTGAGATTGTAATTGCAATCAATCAAGGTTTGCTTGATGTTTTTCAGGACGATACCTGGCGGATTGTTGATGGACTTGGCAAAGTGGTTGACTCCAGGGAATAGTATAGACCTGCCAGTCTGCATTACCTGTTTATTCCAAACACTATTCTAACTTGTATGATGTCTTTCAAACTTCATATTTGAGAGCTGACTACAAACATTAAATTGCACTTTCAAAGTGAGTCATTGAAAGAAATAGCACTGAAATGATTTTCTACGAAGTAAATGATCAAATGCAATATTCAGGAAGCACATTTATTCAGATCTCAGTAAAAATTAAGTTTTTGTAGGCTGGAATTTTAAATTATCTTCAGTGTCTTTTATTTTAAAAAAGGATTGTAGTGAAATATCAGGCCTAAAATTTCAGGAGAGCAAGCACAAAATAATTTAGCTTTCCATAAATTTTTAGAGTCAGAGATAGCTTTGAAATTTCATAAGTTTGATATTGAATGGATATGAACAGAATGTGAATTCTAAGTTTGCATAATGGTAACTCAGAACACTCAATCAAATTGAGTTATGTGCCATAAGGTAATCAAACCAGAGTCCGAGTTATATGCAAAAAATCTATAATTTGATTCTCGTAACATATTAATAAAGTGTAAATGGTGTTTTATATGATTTTTTTAAATTCTCAAGTGCAATGTGTTTTAAAATAAGCTTGCAAAGGACAGCAGGAAAAATTTGTTTCTGCAGTTAATTAACTTTATAGAAATTGTGATTGTTTTGATGAATTAATGCTGTAGATTTAATTTATTTTTATATGGATTGCATAATGTGTGCCTTTTAAAACAATAACAAAAGCCAGAAATGTGCCTATCTAGTTTGTGTTTGTTAATGTGCCTCACTTTTTTTCTCACAGTCTGGATCTTCTATTCAGAATCTTACAGTGGTCAAGCATTTTTACAAGATACTTGCAATTTTTGTAAATATCTTGGCCTGCAATTAGGAAGGGAATTCAGAATAACTAAAGGATAATTTATACTTAAGAATCCTGGCTCACTTCTTTAATGATGCACTGCAGCCATTAGAGAAATGAAGGTAATGGAGTCTGTTTATGGGGAATAAAATTGCCTTCAGATATTCTTTTATTCTACATTAACCTCATCAAAAGCATATATGTGACACAGATAAATTCTGAAAAACTATAATGATAAGTTAGAAAACCTGTATTTTAACTCAAACTCAGCATTTCCCTTGACCCTGTTTATCATTGAGATTTTACACATTTATTTGCTGATTGCATTGTGGACACAGTTTTGTTGTTTTTTATGAGGAATACAAAAAGATTAATTTTGACTACAGAGGAAGAAGTACTGTCACTTGTTTTCACTTCTATAATTGGCAAAATTATCAGTTTAAACGTTTTAATTCTTACTTAATTCCCACATGATAAAAATAGGCAAATTATTTGAAGTGATGGATTGAGTTAAGCATTTCTTAAAATGAACTTACACTAAATGATAAGAAGTCTAACTTTGCAGCAAATCTTGATCAACTGAAGAAATGAAATGTTTTAGAAAAAATTTCATAATTTACAAATGGGAATTTATAACAATAAATACCAGTGTCCTTCATTTTTATAGAAGTGATAACTTGTGTTATATATGATAATTTATATAAAACCACTAATCACTCTTTTAAGCTTTACAGAAAACAAAACTGTTTTCACTAGACGTTTATGTAATATCTTGCTATACTAAACTACAACAGAAAATCTCTTTATAGCAATATATAACACAGTATGTACATTTCTATATGTTCAGTGTTAGCCCCATTCTAAATTTAAATTTGACTAAAGAAACACTTAAGACAGTTTGATAAAAGTTAGTCTTTACTAAATAGCAAAATTAGAATTTCTCACTGTCATGTTATGTTCTTTAAAATGCCAGTTACAGTCTCCTACTGGAATTTTAACTGTAAACCTACTTTGCAATCAAACTGCTTTTATTGGGCAGTTAACATTTTATCAGAATTCTGACACTATTGTACTCACCATGTTTGTTTTTAATCAAGTATTACCTAAAAATGTACAGATGAGTGAAATGGTTAAACTTCTGCACTTTCTTAATTATCACAGTCTTCATGCCAAGTGTTGATACATAAATTGTATTGGGTACAGGTTACAATTTTGAAGCCATATGAGTTTATATTGATTTTTTTTTCATTTAAAATCCACTAATGGTGTAAAAAAGGACCAGTAGGTTTTCAGTGGGAAATGTATCGAGCAAGCTGGTTCTTGCTTATATATAGTTATAAACTTCCTAGCTGCCTCTTTAACCAAGAATTTGTAAACACAGAACTCTAACAAACGTGAGTTTTTAAGGATTGTTATTTACTACTTTGGATTGTAATTAGAACAATGCACATCTTTCTTTCAAAATTTTGTAAATATTTTTGATTTTTTTCATAAAATGCAAATTTCACATGAAAGTTGTACCCTTAATAAACGTGTAATATATAATTTACCAGTTGGTTTTGTATGTTTTTGCACCCTACTGATGGTAATAGCTATGTCATAAATGTTAGGACAGTGCAAGGGATGGGTAATTGGTTTGAACTTTATACCACTAGTTTTGCAGACATATGAATTGAACTGTTAGTTTTCATTAGTCCTATAGAAGACTCTATTTGGAGTATATCTATCTCCAGAATGTAAAATTATTTAACAAGAGGTTATTTTTTATTTTTATTTTTTATTTTATTTTATTTTTTTTTTTAGGCTGGTCAAGTGAAGCAGTGGGAGTGGAGAAGGAACAAAGAAATCTGTAACTGGTTGTGATCAATTAGTTGTGAACACCACTGCTTTCGGACCAGCCAACAAGAGATTATTTTAACGTATTTCTAAATATTTTCAAATTGATGTTAAAGTTTAGCAAACACTTTCTTCCTGACTTGTTGTTCATGAATAATACTCTCACAGTTTCTTTCTTCTTCTTTTTTTTTTTGTTTTGGTGGGACTAAGGTTTGACCTGCTTGCAAGGCAGGCATTCTACTGCTTGAGGCACACCTCCAGCCCCACTCTCACACATCTTAAAAATCACCATGTTCCAAGGAGATAGTCAATAACATTAAGCCTTCCTATAAATGGCAGATTTAGAAAGGAGCAAAAGAATGAGAAAAATAATCCATGCTAGATATTGAAAAATTTGTCAAATCTGTGTCATAAAAACAAATTATTTAGGTCAGGGTGGAAAACCTCTTGCCATTCATACCATGTGTCCATAATGGTTTTTTTCTTCATTATTCTCTTTATGCCCACTCCCACCTCTATTAGGCAAAAGGACACTAACTGATGGAGTAACCCTACCTCCAGTCTCAAGGGCTGAACACAATACTATGTTGCTCACGTCACAGACTTAAGTAGGTTTGAGGAGTAACTTTGCTCCATGTGGTAGTTCAGGAACCCAGGCCTCTTCCATATTTTGATTTCTGCTCAGAATCTTCATTTGACCAGCAGCAGATGGGGGAAATCAGAGACTTTAAGGGAATTTTTTATGAGTCAGGTGCAGATTTGGAATCATCACCTCTGCCTGCATTCCATGAGCCAGGTCTTGTGGCTCCACCCTACTTCAAGAAAAGACGGGAGGTACAATTTGACTGTGTGCCCAGGAGGAAAAGCAAAGGGGCTGGAAGCATGATTCAAGTGGTAGAGTGCCTGTCTAGGAAGTACAAGGTCCTGAGTTCAAACCCCAGTAGTGTCAAGAAGAAAAGAAAACAGGGTTTTGACAGAGTCCTTTACCACATGCCTTTGTCCTGTCTCCATTTTATTACTGTTCTTTCCTCAGGTGTGCATTTAATAGTGTCTGTGGCTTTCCATACCATTGTTTTTTTCATGATCTCTTTCTATTTGTTATTTTTATTCCTATTTTTAAGTATGATTTTTCCATACTTTCTCTGATTGTTTCTGAATGATTATATGTGATAACTCAGAAATCATTGTTTTATCTTTGGTATTCAGAGTTTTACCTGTCAAAAATGTTAACATCAGGTGATAACACAAGACTAAGAGTGTTTTGAACAGAGACACATATTTTTTTCATACATAAAGTCTGCAAGTTATTTGTTCCTGGCATTGATCAGCACAAGTACCTCTCTTAGCCTTTCCTATGATTGCAGTATGGAGACTACAGTTCCAGGCTGTTTGTTTACATGCATGGCTGAGAGAAGAGGCAGTTCTGTCCTTTTCTTCAGGAGATAAAAGCTTTTCCAGAAGCTCCCTGATCTCTCTGCTTACATCCTGTTGACCAGAATTATGTAAGAGGCAGAGAAGACAAGTAGCCTTTGTAGTGAAAGTAAGTAAGGGAGGATGTGTTAAGAACCATTGAAGGTTAGCTGATGGACAAAGGCCACAGAACTTACGCCTGGCACAGGCATGTTTCCTTACAGCAGGTTGACAATCAAATCTGTGCTTCCAGGCCAGTCAACTTTTAATCTGGTTTTTAGCAGTGTGAATTTAGCAGTGAACGGGATGCTCTTGAAAATAAGTATTCTACTTTTTAATCTTAAGAACAGTAAATTTGCACAACCTTCCTAGACACCAACTTGAGTCCAAAGTTTCTCTTTTTTTTTTTTTTTTAAAGTCTGTGTATCATTTAAGCTAGTAATCACTTTGGGGAGCTTGTCCTAAGAAAATAATGTAACAAGTAAACAGAGATATATACAAAGTTGTTTATTGCATATTATTTATAGTATGACAGAATTGGGAGTGTTGGCTAAAGTTGATTATTCCAAAATAATGAAATGCCAATGTATCTGGTAAAAATAATGAAGATCTGTAGCCATTGATACTGAAATATTGCCACAATGTTATTAAACTATAAACAGTAGTGTACTATTTTCATTTAATTTTTATGTTGTGTTTTGTTTATATTTTTATTTTTAAAAGGATATACATTGAGCCGGGCACCCATGGCTCATATATGTAATCCTAGCTACTTGGGAGGCTGAGATCAGGAGGATTGAGGTTTGAAGCCAGCCTAAGCAAATAGCACATGAGACCTTTTCTCCAAAATAACCAGAGCAAAATGAACTGGAGGTGTGGCTCAAGTGGTAGAGTGCCTGCTTTGCAAGCATGAAGCATTGTGTTTAAACCCCAGTCCCACACCCCCCCAAAAAAATACATTGAGAGCAAAATATCTTAACAAAAATATTCACCAAAAGGTGGGGAATGGAAATACAATCAAGGGGTGAACTTGTTCAAAGAACAAGTTCATGTGTGTGGAGAATCGTCATAATTAAAATCCTCTTGTATTTATGCCAATTGAAAAATAAAATTAAAAAAAAATTCACCCGGGCTGTTGTGATCTCTGAGTAGGAGGACTTTTGTTTTCTACAAATGTTTGGTGTTGATTAAATTTCATTTATTTTTCATAATGAGTGCATACTGCATTTATAATAACTATTTTGCGAAGCGGTTTTAGAAATAGAGTGTGAGTTGAACTTCATGTACAAAACATCTGTTCACATTAGGCCTTCCTATTTTGATCATTGCTCAGTCTTCTACTTGGTCCTACCAACATAGCCAGGCTTTTGGCTAATAATACATTAATGTATGGAAGTTTTGTTGCTCTACTTTTTTTTCTCTCCACCCCCGCTTCATCTTTTTTTTGTTTTTAATAAAAATCTGAAAGCTAACTGCTGTGATTTATTTGGCCTAAGTGAATACAGGATCAATTGTTATTCTAGAAATACATTTTATACAAATTACTTTCTTAAAATATGAGCCAGAGAAGGGACAGAGGGTAGCTTTGAGGGAAAATTTAGAGCTTTGAAAAGTTCAGAACTTCAATATAATTACCTCAGTGAATAGTGACTGATTTATACCTTTGAGATTCACAAAAGAATGACCCAAACAGCGATGATCCTGCAACAAAGTTTAGGTTATTCAGTTTTCTAGCTTCTGTTAATGAAGTACTATTAGTTAGAAGATTTGAGCAAGTTTTGAGAGTTTCAGAAAATACGAAAGGCAGGCTCTGAAGCCATCTCCATGCCAGTTTTCATGGCTCCCTTAAGCATATTTCAAATGGACAGTGTGACCAGAATCCCCAAACTGCAGTTACTGTTTGAAGTAAGGTGACCTTTAAGCTTCTTGATGATTGCCTGTGTTCATTAGAATCACAATTCCATCCTTGCCCAATTGCAGCTGCTTGCTTTATTTCATGATCCCACTTGATGGCAACCACAATATTCAGTCAGAAACCCCAGGGCCACTGAAAGGCCCCTGCCAGTTCTCCAGCTGGCGATTAGGCAGCCATCTTCTCAAGGTGCTACTGCGTTAAGACAGAAGTCATTGAGCAATTTGAAACTTACACATTTCACATATCTGCAAAGTTGTTATGATCAATAAGGACCTCTTTCCAGCCCACTTTTTCAGAAATTAGGGGCCTTGGAGCTGACAACCCAGCTCCTGCAAGAGGGCATGACCTATGATGCATTCGTATGAGCAGACATAAATCTCCTAAAAGTCATTATATGAAATTTGTAAAACACAAGATTGATAATAAGTATTAAAAAAAATAAGGGTTTTTTATTTGTAGACAAACTATGAGAAAGGAAGGTAAGACAGTCTATGTGCTTCTTGAAGTCTTTAGGCAATAAAGATGTGGGAATTTTAAAATATAATTACTTTTGAGTTCAGTAGTTAACCAAAAGTTATATAGCCTGTCAAACATTCCAAGGCATGCATATTTTATATGGGTTCAATAAATTTCCTAGCTATTATCTACTTTGCTATTAAAAATCCTGGGAAGCTGGGCACCAGTGGCCCACGTCTGTAATCCTAACTACTCGGGAGGCAGAGATCAGGAGGATCAAGAGACCCTATCAAAAAAAACCCATCACAAAAAAGGGTTCCAAGTGTAGGCCCTGAGTTCAAACCCCAGTAAAAAAAAAAAAATGGACATGTCAACTTCTGATTTTTCGTATGAGTAACTATAAATTGGGCAAGGATGAAATTGTGATTCTAATGAACACAGGCAATCATCAAGAAGCTTAAAGGTCACCTTACTTCAAACAGTAACTGCAGTTTGGGGATTCTGGTCACACTGTCCATTTGAAATATGCTTAAGGGAGCCATGAAAACTGGCATGGAGATGGTTTCAAAGCCTGCCTTTCGTATTTTCTGAAACTCTTTAAACTTGCAGTAAGGAGCATTGCTGTTGTGTCATCATTCCCAATTTGACTATGAGAATACTTTAGCTTGCCTTCTATGTTTAGTGCCAAACATAAATTTGGTTCTAAAGTGCTAAATTATACAGACATACAGATACATTCATTTTGTGAATATCCTTAGTAATTATTTCTATAAGCAATGCCAGGAAGCCTTGCAGATTAGCAGAGGCATGACTAGCTGGGGATGACCTAATGTTCAGTTTACTGCATCTCTAAAAATTTACTTGACAAGAGAACCCACCTCATAGGCACATCTGTTTTCTTTTATAGTGGCTATATGTGTACTTAATTCTTT